ATGTTTTAAAGTTGGTAAAATTCTAAGTATATAGTAAGCAGGAACAAACTTACCTTGGAACTCTTTTGAGTTCCCCAGCACACTAAACCACAGCCTGTTAATCTCCATTTCAGCCTTGCCTAGTTCATATTGTGAAACCAGTCTGAGTAGACACCCACTAAGACTGGGTTAATTTAGGCTACGCTGCTTCCTCAGTGAAGGAGAACAGCCTTAAATTTAGAAACAGCACAGTATATAAAGAGAATAACAAGCATGATAAAAGAAGGTACAGAAGGCGTAGGAAGTCACAAGGAAAGAAAGTAAGCATATCATACTAAATATCATAGTGCTATTTTAAATGTTTCAGAACATTCTTCCACAAGTCAGAGTCTTCTTAATGTTCATCTTGCTATAATTCTCAACCTATAGATCTTTTACAACAAAGAGAAAACATTTTACATTTGCTGCAATGTGTCAACTTGGTATAACTGACCTCTGTATGCCATTTGAAAAAGTTACATTAAAACAAAAAATAAAACAACAAGAACTAGTTGCCAGTTCAAAATCCAAAGCAAAAGCAATTGCCCCAGAACAGAAGCACATTTTCTCTTAAAGCACATATGCTTATAAATGATTACTATAAGAGGAGGCTGAATGGACAACTGGACTGCTTGTCCTGATCAAAGTCAGATGTCAAAATGCCTGCTCATTATTTTTTGCATCACTCAATTCAAGGTGAATTTTCAGAGAGGAAATTTCACTGAATTGCATGCAATCGGCTATGATTGATAGCCCCCCCCAACAAACAGGATGACAAACTCTCAGAAATCACATGGCTGAATATCCCAAAAATAACAAAAAGTGAAGAATTCAAAAATGATAAAATCCAATTTCATTCTCCTAAATCAGGGGGCAGACACAATGGCTGAGGAATTCTGGGAGTTGAAGTCCACAAGTCATAAAAGGACCAAGTTTGAAGACTCCTGTCCTAAAAGCTGAGTTTTGATTGAGTATAGGGCAGAAAGGAAAAGAGAGCAGAGGGGGGGAGGGGAGGGGAGAGGAGAGGAGAGGAGAGGAGAAGAAAAAGTCAAGTCCTTCCACCTCTGAAATTTACCAGTTAAGGCAGTGGTTCTCAACCTGTGGGTCGGGACCCCATTTGGGGTCGAACGACCATTTCACGGGGGTCACCAAACAACGCAGTCTGCCATTTTCCCCCCCTTTTCCTTAGCTGTACTACTCCCTTTTATTCTATTGGCTTTTGAAAGCCAATAGAATAGACTCTCTTGAATAGACTCTCTTGAATGCTGCACCAGTTGAGTAGTCCTCGACTTACGACCGGTTGAATAGTCCTCAACTTACGACCAGTTGGGGGTCGCGACATTAAAAAGGTTGAGAACCACTGAGTTAAGGCAATAATTTCACATTGTTTATGCAAGAACCATGCAAACTTCAAAACTGACACTAATTCAGCACCATAAACAGCTCCTTTCACGATAGCCTTATTGCTCTTAACTTTCTAATTTATTTGGTAGTACTATCATAATGGGCCTTTAGGATGTTCAGATTCTCACTCAATAAAATGAATGGTGGAGGATTGGCTCATCATATTTTAAAAGAAATGAACTGCCATCTAAAGGGCCCTTCAAAAACTGCTTTAGAGATTAAAAGAGGACATCTGAACCACTATCACTGATCTTAACAGATAAAGCAGTAAGTTTCCTTCCTAATCAAATAAACATCTCACGTTTTAGTTCAAGGCAAAAACCAAACTGTCATGCATCCAGAATAATTCATAACCTCCTACTGAAATATTTCAAAGATTGCTCATTCCACAGCTTGTTCTAGTGGATCCAATTACACATATACAGCTTAAAATAAGCTATTATATAACTTGGGCTGTGTCTATTTCATATTCTGTTGGTGAACACAGCAGCCAGAGAAAAAAAAGGAGAGATGTGTTTTGCTTCCTTTAGCAATGTAGTCATTGATTTTGTTTTTTAAAAAAGGATGGAGCCAGTGGGTGCATCATAGGTTCAATTAAGATGTTCTGGTTTGAAAGCTCTCCTATCTCCACTCCAGGGAAAAGAGCTTAAATTAATTATTTTAATTGACAATGATCAAGTCCCATTTCACTGCAACCTTACCCACATTGTCAAATTATTTTTGTAGTGAGGAAGAGTGGAGGAGAGTGTATTAACTCCAAAGAATCTTTTCACTCTCCCTGATTTAGAAACCACAGGCAATCAGACTTACTTTCTGCAGCAAGAATAATTTTCAACTTATAGAACATAAGGGGCAGATTTTCCAAGGCTCTAAGTCAGGGGTCTTCAAACGTGGCCCTTTTATGACTTGTGGACTTCAACTCCAAGAATTCCTCAGCCAGCATGCTGGGGAATTCTGGAAGTTGAAGTCCACAAGTCATAAAAGGGCCAAGCTTGAAGACCCCTGTGCTAAGTCATGTTGCGACTGGAACTGTAGAGACCAAAACTGTCCTGTGTAGACATTTGCTTCCCATTTAGAAGGAAGATGAACCTGGTGACTGAAAGTAGTGAACCCTGTGCATTCTTCTTCACTGTCAACTGTCATGTATGTAGTGTGAATGCCTGAACAATGAACGATGTACTCAGTGAATGAGTTGATACTGTTGATATACAACAATTAATGGTTTATACAACTGTCAGTTGAAATGGGCTGGTTTCAGGGTTTTTCCTGGACATGGCAATGAGAGCTCTTCTATAGTCTGAGGCCTTCTAGCCCAACCCCCTGCTTAAGCAGGAGACCCTATACCATTTCAGAGAAATGGTTGTCCAATCTCTCCTTAGAAACCTCCAGTGATGGAATGCCCACAACTTCTGGAGGCAAGTCGTTTCACTGATCAATTGTTCTCACTTTCAGGAAGTTTCTCCTTAGTTCTAGGTTGCTTCTCTCCTTGATTAGTTTCCATCTGTTGCTTTGTGTTCTGCCTTCAGATGCTCTGGGGAATAGTTGACCCCCTCTTCTTTGTGGCAACCTCTTAGACATTGGAACACTACCTTCCTGTCACCCTCTAGTCCTGCTTTTCTTTCTTTCCATTAAAGCAGCACCTGCTCTATTCTGGATCTCACTCACAAGAGAACTGACCATCACCAAAGACAGCCGTTCCCAATGCAGCCTTTTCACATGTCCACAAAAATTGCCTGCAGACAAAGAATACTACAGGTAGTCCTTGACTTACAATAGTTCATCTAGTGACCATCCAAAGTTACAACAACCATTCGACATTACAAAGTGATTTATGACCGCTTTTCACACTTATGACCATTGCAGCATCCCCACAGTCATGTGATCAAAATTCAGACACTTGGCAACTGAGTCATATTTATGACCATTGCAGTGTGTCCCGGAGTTATGTGATCCTCCTTTGTGACCTTTAGACAGGCTAAGTCAATGGGGGATGCCAGATTCACTTAATAACCGTGTTACCAGCTTAACAACATCAGTGATTCCCTTAAACAGGGATCTTCAAACTCGGCCCTTTTATGACTCATGGACTTCAACTCCCAGAATTCCTCAGCCAGCATGCCTGGCTGAGAAATTCTGAGAGTTGAAGTCCATGAGTCATAAAAAGGCCAAGTTTGAAGACCCCTGCCTTAACAATTGTGTCACAAAATGGGGCAAAATTCACTTAACAATTGTCTTGCTAAGCAACAGAAATCCTGGGCTCGATTGTCATCGTAAATCAAGGACTACCTGTAGTCTGCTTTTATGAGTGGGTGATACAGGACAGATGTCTGCTTCTTCTCCTCTTCCTCCCCTATTTCACTGCCCTTCTATTCCAAAGCCGGCGCTCCCTGACATGCAGTTCCTGGTCACCTACAGCCACCAAGCAAATTATGTTAAATGAACAACTATAGTTGCACTCAAGTGTTTTTAATGTTTGTACTGTATTCTTGGGGTTTGAGGGTATTGTTTAGGGTATAATTTTATAAGCTGCCCAGAGTTAGGCACGTGGGATGAGCAGCTATATAAATCAAATATAAATATTATCTGAACACTGATTCATGAGAACATGGGAACTATTTTAAACCAGGATAGCATTTTTCATCCTATAATGTATGGTCTATTCTGATGCTGTAGATCAGGGGTCTTCAAACCTGGCCCTTTTATGGCTTGTGGACTTCCAGAATTCCTCAGTTGGCATGCCTGGCTGAGGAATTCTGGCTGGTTGAGGAATTCTGGGAGTTAAAGTCCACAAATCATAAAAAGGCCAAGTTTGAAGACCCCTGCTGTAGATTTTTGGGTAGAGGGACTTCTTCCTCTCCTCACTTGTCTAGCTAGCACTTTTAGCAACAAAATCTGAATTTGGTGGGGATCTTGCTGCAAGGAAAGATGAGCTATGATCCTCCCTTAGGTTAGGGTTGTTTGTCTTATAGAAGAAGCAACCATGTCATAATGACAAAATCAGCTCACCATCTCAGGTGTAGAACTTTCCCTAAACATTAAGGGCTGGTTTATACGGAGGTTAAACCAAGAGATTTAAACTCTGCGTCACGGAATAAGTCACAACGGACTGGAATGACACATCTTGACAAGCCATGGTTTATAAACCTCAATCATGCTGAGCCCAAACCCAGGAGCCACATTATGGAGTATTATGATGAGTGAACTACTCAATGGTGCAGCCTCCGCCGCTGAGCCCTGAATGCCTTAAGGGATTCTTAGGGGATTCGGGCCCCCCCCCCCTATTTCCCGTCACCTTCCCTACGCCCCGCAAAGCCCTTTGAACGGCCACCGCGTGAGCGAGACGCAAAAGGAGCGAGGAGGAAGCCCCCCCAATGCGCCTACACATCAAACGACTCAGTGGCGGCGCTGCCCTCCTCCCTTCTCGGTTTTATGAATGGAATTCTCCAGCCCCAGCCGGATTACTATGCCGCCCGGCTCTTTAGCGCGCGATTGTCCGCCTTCGCCACCCGATTGGCTCCCGCCACCATTGACGTCACCCGAGCGAGTGCCGAGCGGAGGGAGGAGTCGCACGGCCAGAGCCCTTAAGTATGAGTCAACCTCAAAAGGGGGCTTGTTCAGTATAACACCGGGCGTGCCCCCCACCAACTCCCGGCCAGCCTGAAATCCGTCGCTGCAGCTGGACCGGGGCTCCTCCATCCTCGCAGCCCATCTGCTAGCTCCGGCCCCCTCTGCATTGGGAGAGGCGGATTCCTTCTACCTGCAGCCATCCAATCGGACACACGGATCGATCCCGCTGCTATCCGCCCCCTCCCCAACCGAGGCTTCTTCCTCGCTGAATGTGCAGTGGGACCCTTTTCCAAGGTGAGTTCAGGCGCCTTTCTCTTGCCGTTGTTATCTGATAGCCCAGAAGAACCTACTTACTACCTCTTTGCAAGATATCCAGCGCTTAGGGATCCTAGGTCTAGTTCCGTTAACATGCGTTCAAAGATAACCGGACGCCAGGCTAGACACTTGTTTTAAACGACATTTTCCGCAGTGCAATTCTAAACTTGATAAGTTGGCTGCAAGTCAATAGGCTTTACTTAAGGTCGCACCGTTACCAGTCATCGCTGAAGTGAGATCTGGATGGTGCAGCGGTTTTCAGGTTTCTGTGCCTGATACTGATCAACGTCTACAAATCCTAAACGTTCACCCACAGATCACAGATATTTTCTCAGAAAACAAGCTAGAATTGATCTCTTGAAGGATGGGCTTCCTAATTTGATGCCTTCCAGATGTGTCTAGACTACAACCTTCCTAATTCCCAGCCAGGAGGGTTGTTCGCCACTCTGGCTGTGAAATAGTGTTCCATACATGTAGGAGAGCAGGCTTTTGAAAGTTTGTTAAAGATGTCCCTTTATTACAGATAAATTCCTATGCTTTATTGCATTCATTAGCATGATGATTTAACAGACATAGGCAGAATAAAAATGACTTTTTTTTTTTTTTTACAAAGGAGGATATAAACATGGCTCAGCTTGTTCCCTTGACTTTTCATGTTTACCAGCTTGTTAGCAGAAAGGCAGACAGAAGTTGGGTGCTTGCTGCACAATCTATTGTGTTGCACAGTTTACAAAGCCATCTCTTCCCTATAAACATTTTTAAATGCCACGATTGGGGGAAAAGCTAAGTTAGGTTATGTATCAGAGCAAATAAAAGAGAAAGGGATACAGACAGGAAGGCCTGTCCAGGAACATATGATGTCATCTGAAGAAACCTACGTTGACAAGAGACAAAATTGGTTTGTCCTCTTTTATCCCGATGGGCTTGTTTGAAGAACAGAAAAAAGAGACAGGGAAGGTGGCAACCAATGACAGGCACAAGCCAGAGATATCCCATCTAGAAGGCATTGATGACAAGGACCCAACACTCAGATAAACTATACCTACAAAATTAGTCACCTTTGGTTGTTGTTTTAGGCACCTTTAAGGTAGCTGGTTTGCCTCCATTTTGTTTCCAACCCTAGAAAACATGTATTAATTCAGGGATTCCCTCCCTTCCAAACACACACAAAGAAATATACATATACAAACACGCCCAAATACTTACAAATACTTGCTGCTTCGCTGCAAATCTGAGTTGAAACTGAATTGATTTTTCATCTGCTGTTTCAGATCACAGTAGAGAGCATGAAAGAGGAAGTGCCCACTAACACGACCAAGATCCATCCAGGCTGGTTTGTGCCTGCTAATGGCAGCACCAGCAAGTCCTACTATTTCTCAGAGACGCCTCCTGTTCTTCCCTTAAATCCTTGGGATGTCGTCCTGTGTGTTTCTGGAACTATCATCTCCTGTGAGAATGCCATTGTGGTGGCCATCATCTTTTACACCCCAACTTTCCGGACTCCGATGTTCCTGCTGATTGGGAGCTTAGCCACTGCCGATCTCTTGGCTGGCTTGGGCCTGATCTTTCACTTTGCCTTCATTTATTATGTCCAATCACAGATAGTTAACCTCCTCACCATGGGCCTTCTGGTGACCTCATTCACTGCCAGTGTGGGCAGTCTCCTGGCCATCACCATAGACCGCTACTTGTCTCTCTACAATGCATTGACCTACTACTCGGAGAGGACAGTCACCCGGACCTACGTCATCCTCATCCTCACGTGGGGGATCTCCATCAGCTTTGGACTGTTGCCTGTGATGGGTTGGAACTGCTTGAAGGACAACTCCACCTGCAGCATCATCAAACCGTTGAACAAGGACCACCTCATCATCCTGTCCATTTCTTTCTTCATGGTCTTTGCGGTCATGTTGCAGTTGTATGTGCAAATCTGCAAGATTGTCTCTCGGCATGCCCAGCAGATTGCCCTCCAGAGACACTTCTTGGCCACCTCGCACTATGTCACCACCCGGAAAGGCATCTCCACGTTGACTCTCATCCTGGGGACCTTTGCCTCATGCTGGTTGCCCTTTGCTGTTTACTGTCTCCTGGGAGATTACACCTACCCTGCCCTCTACACCTACATGACTGTGCTCCCTGCAACCTACAATTCCATGATCAATCCGGTGATTTATGCCTTCCGGAACCAGGAAATTCAGAAGGTCCTATGGGCAATATGCTGCAGCTGTATCTCCTCCTCCATGCCTTTCCAGTCCAGATCCCCCAGTGACGTCTGATTCCTCCCTCTCTTGCTCCCTCTCTCTGCTCCCTCTCTTCTGCCCAATCTCTTGCCGCTCAAGAGAGCTCAAATGTGCAAAACCTCTTTCTAATGTCCTTCCCTTCTCCTTGCCAATGTAAGTGACAAGGCTGTCCTATCTTTATTTATTTTGACTTCGGGAAAAAGACAAATCTCGTTTATTTTTTTAACCATGCCTTTTTTAAAAGACAGGGGAAAAATATATATTTCTGCTTTTGTGTGTATGTGCATGCGTGGGTGTATTGGTTACATGTCAGATCTGATACAAATATTTTGTCTGAAATATTGAGAGTGCATTATTTTCTTAAAAAGGAAAAAACGGCAAGAAGAAGCCTCAAAACCTTCAACCTTTCTTTTGAGTTTTTATAGCCTTAATTACCTCAGATCTCTAGAAAGCTATTTTTCTACATTTAAACAAATACCATTGTACCCACTTGTATTTCTCCTTCGATCAGTGGGGATAAAAAAAAAAAAAAATAGCCCATTGCTGTGCCAGGTTTCAAAAACAAAATAGATTCCCCCCCCCCCAGTTCTGTATTTGGCTGCCCCCTGGTGTTTATTCTAATAAATGCAACCATAGGAAGATTGGGGTGGAGGGCAAGGGGAGAACAAGAACAGTATTAATAAAACAATGTATAATATGAGATCTGAAGCAATGTGAATGTCCAGAGTACAGGCAGTCCTCGACTTACAACCATTTGTTTAGTGACCATTAATGGCACTGGAAAAAAAATGACCTATGACTGTTTTTCACACTTCCAACCATCTTCAGGGTCACATGATCAAAATTCAGACACTCGGCATCTGGCATGTATTTATGACAGCTGCAGTGTCCCAGAGTCATGTGATCACCTTTTATAACCTGACAAGTAAAGTTCCTGCTTTCCTGCTTGAGTAGGAGGCTGGACTAGAAGACCTGCAAGGTTCCTTCCAACTCTGTTATTGGGGAAGCCACAGTCATGTTACTAACTTAACTGCAGTGATTCACTTAATAACTCTGGCAAGAAAGTTCATAAAATAAGAGCAAAACTCACTTAACTATCTTGCTTAGCAACAGAAATTTTGGGCTCATAAACTGTGGTCATAAGTCAAGGATTACCTATAACGCAATACTAAAGACTTTCAAAGGCACTATTTCTGAATAATCCATGTCAAGATAGCAGCCTACATGTTGCTTGTCCCAATTTTAGATTCTAAGTTGGGCTACGGTTTTCATTTTCCTAGCTGTCTGGGTCAAAAATGAGCGTTTGTAGTTCTAGCTCAGTATTGTTGGGACCAAGGCTAAAATGATTGAAACAATTGCACTAGGGTGGGGTGGGGGAAAGAGCACCTAGATGAGAAGAAGTTCATGTCGTGTTTATTGACACTGAAAAGTAAGGGTTTCATCTAGTCTAGTTCCAGGTGCCCTCAACATGTTGTTTACTTCAGCACCCATCATCCAGCTGGCTTGACCAAAGGATTATGAGGGGGCTTTAACCCTAAACAGACAGAGGGCATTCTTCTCTCTCTCTCTCTCTCTCTCTCTCTCTCTCTCTCTCTCTCCCTCCCTCCCTCCCTCCCTCTCTCTCTCTCTCCCTTCCTCCCTCCCTTCCTCCCTCCCTTCCTCCCTCCCTCCCTCTCTCTCTCTCTCTCTCTTTCTCTCTTACATTTTGCACAGCTCCTAGAAAGGAAATGAATGTAACAGGCACTTTGGAAATAGGATTATTTTATTGTTTTGAGCCAGTTTGGTGTAGTGGTGAAGGCATCAGGCTAGAAATGGGGAGGTCATGAGTTCTGCCTTAGGCACAAAGCCAGCTGGGTGACTTTGGGCCAGTCACTTTCTCTCAGCCCTAGGAAGGAAGCGATGGCAAGCCACTTCTGAAAACAAAACAAAAAAAACTTGCCAAGAAAACTGCAGGGATTTGTCCAGGCAGTCTCTGAGAATCAGACATGATTGAACAGGGGAAAAAATTGCTGTCTTGCAGGAAAACTAAGATGTTCTGTGAGAGCACTGTATTTTTTTTTTGTTGTTTACAATCATAAGAGGGGAAAAAAGAAATAAAGATAATTTTGTGATACTTGAAGATGTGTCAGTTTTCTGTCCACTGCATGAAAGTCACTGTTTCCTTGACGGGGCATCTTATGGGCAAGTTAGATTACACTTGCCATAATCACCAGCTAACATGCATGTTTGCTGGGGATAATATGAGCTATAATCCAACTTGCCCGTCATGTTAGAGGAGAGCAGCTTAGCTGCCACAAGACCAGTAAAAGACACTGAAAGGAATCTTAACTCTTTGGCTGCTTTTGAAATTCCTTCAGATCAAGTATATCTCCTCCATGAAATTACATGCTTTCCTCTCTCATCCTATTCTTGGGTATTGCAAAGGCAACTGGACTTTCTTTGTTTTTCCTTGAAGACATTTTGCTTCTTATCCAAGAAGCTTCTTCAGTTCTGGGACAACCATGACCCTTTGAGGCAACCTGGATGACCGAGAACCTCCATAAACACGATTCAGCTGTCCTCTGTAACAGACCAAGATGGTGCACACGTCTTCATCTCGGCCTCTCTTCTTTTTCTAGGCTGTTGCATACACATTAGGCTGCACCAACCGTTCTATTTGCTAAGAATTCCTAGGCACTGGAGGCTGTAGGAGGAGCTTCATGGTATCCAGAAATCAGAAGGCTAGTAGCATCTTTTCAGACTGACACAATTTACCAATAAAGGAAAATATTTGTAGCTCAGAGTTAAAATGAGGGGTTCTTGGTGATCTCTGAGCTTACCTGTTTTCTTGCAGATGTTTCATTACCCAAGTAGGTACCATCATCAGTTCTAGAAGGGAGTGAGGTTTGCAGAAATAAGAGGGAGGGTTGGAGGAAGGAGGAGGAGGAGGATTGTGGGGGTCCTTGGAGCACCCTGATTTTGGTTGTTTCCTTGCAGACATTTCATGACCCAACTAGGGAACATCATCAGTGTTAGGTTGATTTCTTGCAGATGTTGCACTGCCAGCTAGGTAATACAATTTATTAAAAGGCATAAGCTTTTGGGGACGCAATGACAGCTCGCAAATGCTATGCCTTTAATAGAATCTATTGGTCTGAAAAGATACTACAGGTGTCCTTCTGATTTAGGGTGAGAAGCACGTTCATCAACAGAACAAGCTAGAGGTGGGCCTTTTGCCAGCTTCCCATTTTTAAAGACAGCAGGCTGCTGAGCAGCAATCAGGAGGTACCCAACACAAGAGTACCAAATTGCTAATATTGCTGAGATGCTGCCTTTTTAATATGTTGCAGCAAAAATAGCAGAGAGTCTGGGGTCACCTTAACACAGCTTTGTAAATCAGCCCAGAATAGTTACTAACATTAAAAACAAAAAGCCTTTGCTGCATGTCAACGAATAGGGAACACTGTGTCTTTGTCAGTCAAGATCAGTTGTGACCTTGGGACCATCCTTGCACCCAGGATAAAGTGAAGAGGACAAAGATAAAAAGAGTCATGTACAGGTAGTCCTCGACTTACGACATTTGTTTAATGTCTGTGGGAAGTTATAACAGCACTGAAAAAAATCTGTTTACAATAATTGCAGCATCCCCAGGGTCATGTGACCAAAATCTGGGCCTATATTTACGATGGTGGCAGCCTCCTAAGCCACAGCACTGATGATCACAAATTGGCTACCAAAGAGCGAAGTCAACGAGGGAAGCTGGATATGCTTAACAACTTGGTGATTCATTCAACAATCGCTGCAAAAGCGATCGTGAACAAAACTCATTTAATGACACATTGCTTGGTGGCAGAATTCCCATCCCAATTGCGGTCGTAGGTTGAGGACTATCTATACACTATGTTGGGCTCGCTTGGGAAGCTAAGAGGTCTGAAGATGCCAGAGTTGAAATCACTTGACTTGCTCAGCCTTCCCCCCCCCCCCCCCGCTAGCCTTCGGATCAACAGAGAAGAATTAAGGAAATCCTTGACTTACGGCTACCGTTCGGACTGGCATTTCCATCATTAAGCAATACAGTCATTACATGAGTTTATGCTGTATTACTATAGTCATTACGGAAATCATGCAGGGATGAAGTGAATGCCCCAGTGATGTTGCTCGTTGGAAGCCTCTGAGAAGGTTGTCAATGACGGCCCCCATGACCTGGCAGTGTTGCAAATATCGTAGGTAACATGCTGGTTACCGAACGCATGAATTTTGATCATCTGGCTGTGGGGATGCTACGCCAGCTGTAAGCATGAGGATTGCTCGTTAAGTTACTATTTTCAGAACCATCATAACTTCAAATGATCATTAAACAAATGGTCATAAGCCAAGGACTACCTAGAATGCCAGGTGAAGAAATCCTGCTGCATTGTTTCCCGAGCATGTCCCCGTCTGCATGAGAGGGAACTTGCTTTAGAACTTTAGAGAGCTTGTGTAGAACATTTTATTTTAAAAATCTAGGCTACTCCCCAAAAGGGAAAGGGAAGTAATGCCTCCGCCTGAATGAGCACTAAAGTGGTCAAATGCTACACGCCATAGCAAGTGGCAGCTCCAGCTAAAGCAGGACTATATGCATAGCCTCCTAATTAATCTTCAACAATGGCCAGAAGAAACTTCAGCTAGCAATAGCAATAGCACTTAGACTTATATGCCTCTTCACACTGCTTATATGCCTCTTCACACATCCCTCTCTAGGCAGTTTACAGAGTCACCATATTGCCCCCAACAATCTGGGTCTTCATTTTACCGACCTTAGAGGGAGGGAAGACTGAGTCAACCTTGAGGATCAAACCCCTGGCAGTCAACAGAATTAGCCTGCAATACTGCATTCTAACCACTGCGCCACCAGGGCTAACCCAAAAGTTCAAGTCCCCAGTTTGTTGTACACATACGGTACATACAGACACAGAGGAAATGCATGTTTGGATTGGAAACAGAGAAAGTAAGTTTTGGGCTTGTCGGATGACTCTACTGCTGCATCAGCTTTGCATTTCTGACTCAACCTAATCCAATGAGCTCTTTGCTCTCTTCTGGCATGTCGGTGTTGGCCTTTGTTACATACTGGAGCCTTCTACCGAACCCAAACTACCAGATAGCAAAAGTTTTTCTGGCAGACGGATTTGCAAACAGATTAGGGATTATGGAGGGAAGGCAGGCTAGCAACAAAGCCCAGTTTGGCTGAAAGGTTGTTTGCGTTTCTACTGAATCAGCTGCCAAATCCACTGTCAAAATGTCAGCCATTTTGACAAAGCTCAGCCAGGCTTCTCCTAAAACTCCTAACAGGAGCTTCAAGTGGCAGGATGCAAGGATTATGGAGGATTGGAACAGCAGGGAGAATTTGCTTTTGGAAAAGGGAGCAAACAAGGAAATTTTGTCCATGTGCCTCCCTTGCCACATCCACACACCTCTTCCCTTTACAGCATATTTTGTCCTTTTTCTCAAGGTGCCTGAATAATACAGCTTGGCCAACAACCAGGATGACACAGCACGCCACAAGGTGGAAAAGCATCCCTTTAACACTGATTGGAGCTGACAATATTTTTTCTCGTCTCTGATCCCAGAAGGGAAATTAAGGCAATGGGAAAGATAAAACATGACATCAGAGAGGACAGGCAGCCCTGCTTAATCTTGGTATTGTTAATATCACCTTGCAAGGAGAAATTAAACCGATCGGTGGGGGCTGAAAACAGCATCCAGAGGCAAAGATCTGTGGCACAAAAGAACAGCCACAAGGCTCCGCTCTTACTGGAACAGTAAGATGCTGGCACTGCCATTCCATGCCCCATCCCATGCTCATCACAAATAGAGGGAGTCCTCGACTTAAACAATAGTTCATTTAGTGACTGTTACAACGGCACTGAAAAATGTGATTTATGACCATTTGTCATACTTACAACTGTTGCAACATCCCCACGGTCACATAATTAAAATTCAGACACATGGCAACTGACTCATATTTATGACAGTTGCAGTGTTCCAGGGTCATGTGATCACCTTTTGTGACCATCTTACAAGCAGGACCAATGGGGAAGCCAGATTCACTTAACAACCAAGTTCCTAACTTAACCACTGCAGTGATTCACTTGACAGCTGTGGCAAGAAAGGTCGCAATGGGGGCAAAATTCAATTAACTGTCTCACTTAGCAACAGAAATTTTGGACTCCGTGGTGGTCGTAAGTGGAGGACTACCTGTAAATATTTTTAAAAGATCAATTAAAGTATTTAAAACAGAATTCTCCACTGTGAAGGCTTTTGGATCCTCCCTTGGATTTGGATTTAACCCAAGATAAACTTTTAAGACTGAAACTGCCCCTCCCTAACCTCAACAGGTCTTAGGTCAGAGATGGAAAACTAATGGTGAAAGGCCCCAATGTCTCCCAAGACTGCAATCCCCGCAATTTATCAGCAAAATGAGCTTCTTTGGGAACATGTTTTGGGATCACCTTTAATTGGGGAAATTCAGGTGTTAATGTTAGCAGTTTGAATCTCTGCAGCTTCCTGTTCCAAACTAAAACACTTAAAACATGATCTCATTAGGGCATTATCACAGAGTGGCCTCTTTCAGCCCAGCAAAGGAAAGGGAGACCAGTCGCAGCCCTCAAGTTTTCAGCAGCTGTTGTCTTCTGGCTTAGGTTCCTTCACAACACACACCAGCCTTCATCAAAACTTAGTTAAGAATGGCACACATCCAGTGAGCTCATTTAGTTCTCCCTGTTCATCCCCCACAGTTTTGATTCAAGTAAACTCATAGAAGAAAGATCAATCATAGTCTGCTTCACATCTGCCACACTAAGTTCTGCAAATCTGGTATTTTAAAGTTTTCAATATTCACCGAGCAGCTTTTCCAACTGGGGTCTCCTTCCCCACATGTGCCCTATTGGGACAGCTAGATAAGTGGTGGTGGTGGTGGTGATGCTGTCCAGTATTGCTTGAAAGCACCAAGGAAAGATGTTCCAATTAATATGTGCCACTAAATATGATTTACTGAACAATTATTCAATTATTTGCCCAGCATTCTAACCTATAAACTACACTTTGCAAGTCACAGTGGACAGACGGTTGTACTAAAACCAAACAAGCCACATGACTTAGCCTAACAGACATGAAATATAACGGAAGTTTATACCAGATGCATCCGGTTTAATACAACATTTGGCCACAATTTGTGGGGTGGGAGAAGCTTCTTGCCAAAGGGACAAGAGTTTCTTCTTCTTTTACTGTCACGCGTTCTCTCAGCTGCACTCTATTCCTTTGGACCAAATCCCTACCGTTGCTTCTTCAGCCTGGAAAGGGATGAAAGGAGAGGCTCTTCTTATGTTGATTTGTGAAGTCTTACTTTGACCATGGCTGTTGCCCAAGACTAGCCTCCATCTGCTGAAGGAGGTGGTCTCTTCTAAGATCTGCGGTTCTTTTTTGAGATGCTAGAAAGAGAAGGTAGGAAAGGCTGGAACGGCCTGCTGGGGGAGCTGTCCAAGTGCTGATGGCCTTTCCCATTCTTCTTGCCCTACTTCAGACATGTCAAACACAAGGCCCGGGGGCCGGATGCGGCCCGCGAAGTGGTTTCATGTGGCCCACAAAGCCATCCTGGAAACAGTGAGGGAACTGCCCCCGTTGCCTTGGCCCTGGCCGGCCGGGAGCCAATGTACAATTTTGTGGTGCCCATCTATGCTGAAACGCATTCAGTCTTAGCGCAAGGCTGTCTAGAAACAGCGAGGAACCAGCCCCTGCCATGTTGGCCCTGCCCCCTGGGTGCATGCTTGGGAGGTGTCACCCTTTGTGAGGAATGAAGAAATGGACCATGCCTTGGTGCTTGCCCTGGTCCCACCCCCTTCTGCCAGAGACCCTCTGATCTGTCCCACTCCTGCCCAGGCCCCCACAGGCACTCTTGACGCGAATGATGTAGAGCTGGCCATGCCCACCCAGTAGGCCACACCCACTCCATCCAAGCCCACCAGTAGGCCACACCCCCCAGCCCCCCCCCCGGAGGGCAACCACAGTGCTGATGCGGCCCTCAATGAAATTGAGTTTGACACCCCTGCCCCACATTGAGAAGGTGGCAGTCATTCTGTTTTTTTTTTTTTAAAGGAAACATCTTGGCCACCTCCCTGCCAAGCCTGTGAACATATGGCAGCCTATTAAAGTAGGAGTCCCCAACCCTTGGTTCTGTGGACCAGTACTGGGCCGCACAAAGCCCCATCCGCGAGATGCAGGCAGCACACAAAACCATGCACTCTCTGGTCCGTGGAAAAACCTTTCTCCGGTCCCTGGTGCCCAAAAGGTTGGGGAGCTCTGTATTAAAGGGAATATTGCACTCGAGCCTCTTTCACAAATAACTATCTCCTGGGATACTTTGGCTATGGCCATCTAATTTTATACAGGTAATCCTTGACTCACAACAGTTCATTTAGTGACCGAAGTTACAATGGCATTGAAAAAAGTGACTTATGACCAGTTTTCACATGGCCGTTGTAGCATCCCCACGATCTCGTGATCAGAATCCAGACACTTGGCAATTGACTCATATTTATGACAGTTGTAGTGTCTTGGGGTCATGTGATCTCATTCTGACAGGAAGTCAATGAAAAAAGCCAGATTCACTTAACCATGTTAACTGCAGTGATTCACTTAACAACTGTTGGCAAGAAAGGTTCTAAAATGGGGCAAAATTCATTGAACTGTCTCTTAGCAACCAAAATCTTGGGCTCAGTTGTGGTTGTAGGTCAAGAACTACCTATACTGAGGCTTTGTAAACCAGTTTGATCATGAAGGGTAGCACGCAAATGCATAATACACAATGGTTTTCATTTTAGCTCATGGTTACTTTAGTGCTTGACAAGTAAGCTGAAAACAGACTTGCCTGAAGTGGGGATGGGCAGTCATAGGTTTGCAGCTGCGCAGGCCCAGCATGCCTGGATTTGGCCACAGGCAAGGCAACCGTGAGACTCAAAAACAACCTCCACTGACATCATTACCTTATGCTCAGAAGATTCCTTTTGTCCTGTAGGAAACATCCTAGATGCTGAGGCTATTTGGCTTGAGCTCCTGGAAGTGAAACCTGCTATCTTTGGGGAGGAACTTTTTCAGGAGTGATGCTACACTTTATTAAAACCACCACTTCAGGAGAGATTTGTCAAGCTGTTGTATACTTTAATCCAAGGCAGGTAATTAAGAGCTGCCCTCCCCCACCTCCTTAAAGCATCTCTGTGTGTGTGCAGACCGACACACATACAGGCAGGCTTTTAATATTACAGGCAGATTTTTAAGTGCTGGGCTGTTGCATTTATGCTGCATGGTATTGTAATGACTATGGAAACATTTTTAAACACTGCATCCATCCCCTTATTTCACTCATTAGAAATGCAAAACGGTATTTAAATAGGCTGAATCATTTAATGGCTTAATCAATTTTAGTTTTGTCAACAGCAGAGCTAGAAGAACAAAGTATCTTCCCCTTCAAACAACAGGAAAAAACATGGTAATTTCCCACACACTCACCAGTGGTTTTTTTTTTTTTTAATCACACAAGGGTCTATTTTGACAAATTATAACAAAAGCTTTTTTTTTTTTGTCTTCCTTCAATTGTGTCTGATTCTTGGAGACCACCTGGACAAATCCTTGCATATTTCCTGGTAAGGTTTTTCAGAAGCGGGTTTGCCATTTCCTCCTTCTCAGGGCTGAGCGTGGGTGACTGGCCCAAGGTCACCCAGCTGGCTTTGTGTCAAAACAGGACAAGCCAGTCTCCCATTTTGTAGCCTGATGTCTTCCACATTACACCAAACTGGCTCACAAAAGCAGGCCCCAGGCTTAAAGGCACCAGGATACTGCTTCATGTGAAACAATATTTCTTTTTGAAAATGTTGAAAACACACACAGTATATTTTTAACCATTTATTTCCATGAAGAGTAGAGAGAAGGGGCAAAGGACTGTTTTATTTTTAAATTTAAGAGAGTAAAAGCATGAAAGAAATAAAACAAAAATGGGTTATTTACCCTCCCTGCCCACAGTTACGCTGAAATAAGTTACCCTATGAAGTTAATTATGGCAAATTTGAGGAAAATAATACAGTAATTATTTAAGCATTAAAATGGCATTATTTACTACCACTTCATGTGACAAAGGTTTTCGATGGTGACCTATCAAGATGTAGAAGACTGCTCATGCCATGACATCAGATATTAGGCTAGATGTGCCATGGCTTCACTTCAATAAAGTTTTATGTCCTTATAGCATTCATATAAAAATAAAATAAAAGCAGAACATGATTGGATTGGGTTGCATACCCATTAATCATATTTATACCAGATTAAAGGCCTATCAATTATGGATATTTTGAACAAAACATGGGGAAAGGACATAAGAATCTCAATCCAACATGCAGAAAACAATTCTAATGCAGGTGGGACTCAACTTACAACCCAATGCTTAATGACCATTTAGAGTTATGACAGACCCCCCCCAAAAAACTCCTACTTATCACTTATCCTACTTATCCTAAAGTTCCCATGGTCTTCCCCCACAGTTACATGACTTCATTTGGGCACTCAGCAACTGTCTCACACGTACGACCATTTGCAGCATCATGTGATTGTGACCCACATTTTGCCATAAAATGACCCATGGAGAACAGGATTAATTACCATGGCATCCGCTTAAATGGAATGCTGGCTTGACCACAACAGTTTACTTAACTACCAGAAAAGGTCATAAAATCGATCACATAATGACTCACTTTATAACTGTCATGACTTACCACCTTAATTGTCAGGCTTAATTATGGTTGTAAAGTGAAGGCTGCTTGTAGACCCAAGGCAGAAAACGTTTGTATTTGAAGTTATAATTTCCAGAATATGCTCAACTTCCATTTGTTGTATCAACAATTCTTCTAGGGTTTCTACATATTAACTGCATTTATCTCCAGTTCTAATGAACTTCACTCACCTAAAAATGGATTTGTTTTCTTCTGGCAGGAAAAAAAATCAATCAATCACATTTATTGCTATGAAACGTGCAAAAATATTTGAACAAATATTTCCTATCAAATTCACATATAGTAGAGTCCCCAAAAGAATTTGCAGTTAAGTTGTGAAAACGTGATGAATTGTGGATCAGGAGAGAAAAACTGGAAGTTATTGGGTAGCTTCTTTCAATGTCTTTAGAACAAAATGAATACTTAGCATTATATCCTCCCAAGGAAAAGACTTTTTTAACCCCAGATATCTATTAATCCTGAACAATTTCATCTACCTTTTGATTTTCTAAAATCAAGGATCTCTGCCATATAAATGGACTATCCATAAAACTTATCAATGTTTCCAAATGTTTTCTTAAACCAGGGCAGAGGGTTTGTCGACTGAAGTAGGTAGAACCCACATGTTAAGCCAATCCATTGCCCAGGCACATCCAATGTGGTAAGGAAGGATGCCAAAATGACTGCCAAATACCACACAATATTCCTTTAACTGTAAACTTCTGATCTTTAGGGCAGCAGATAAAAAGTGACTTTAAAAGAAGGTGAAAAAGAACAGCAGGACCAAGATTTGCAAGGTGATACTAAGGAAGAGGATATTTTTCACTCCTATAAACTGGAACAGCTATCTTGCAGTCCTCGGGCTGCACTGAATTTTCCAATGAAATTCTCACCAGTGTAACAACGCACAGGGCGAGGGAAAGGGTGTACAAAAAGCACATATGCATTCATAATTGTTAAGTTGTAGATATACCAGGAGACATAGGCAAGAAAAGAAGATCTCCTGTGAATGGCAGTAACAGATTATAACCGAGCATTAGAGAAAGTGACCGATTAATCCAACCCTAAACATAACACAATGGCTAGAAAGGATTTCTCATTTCTTTAAAGTTTATATGGTAAAGTTTTGTTTAATCACATATACTTTACAAGAAGTCCCTCAAGGAAAGACAGACAAAACGAAAGAGATTATAAAAGTAGTTTTTTAAAGATTTGGATTAAAAATAGCAACTAGGGACAGTAAAAAGAATATGGAGAGTCAAACTCTGCATGAGTGTGTGGAAGAGAAGCAACAATTCCAGTCTCCATTGTGCTTCTCCCACTTCACCCAAGACATGCCAGGCAGAATTCGGTACTGATAATCAGGCTGTACAGAAACAACCTGAGGATCACTGACCTCTAGCATAAACAAGACTGAGGTCACCACAGCACTTTTTGCTTTAGGTTTAAGGCTTTTTGAATTCATACCAACAGCCAATTCCCACAACTGCTGAGTTTATAGTAAAGCAGACTTTCAGCATATCATAGAACGGTTGCCCATTTTCACTAAATGTCTAAGGGTACACTGATAAACACCTAGAGAAATCATACCACTTGCTCTTATATTCTGGAACAGGTAACGTTCTTGGTCTCTATTGATAAAACCAACAACTGTGTTCATAACCATCTCCTCCTGCAGTTAATTAAGGTATATCTATTGATCTCTTTTTACAAACTGACCATTTAAGAGAACTTTGTTAAAAGAACACTTTCTTCAACATTCCATATTTTGTTTAGATATGACCTTATGATACATTTGAAATAATTACTCTTACATAAATATATTTTATGAAATAAGGCACTTATAGAAGTCAACTTATTCTACATAAACATTGTTAGTTTTTGAAATCATTTAAAATGAATCACGTTAAAAGGTGCAATAAGGAAAGAAAAGGTCACTCTCTCCCTCCCCACTTCAAAATTCTGTTTAAAAAGGAAATCAAGCAGAGCAGACTCCAGAGTCTCTGTAGTAAAGCAGCCTGGTAAAAGGACACAGCATCCTTCTCCCCAGCTGTGTGATTCAAGAGGCATATTTTAAGTCTTTCTCTCTACTCAAATGCCTGCTTGACGAAGCTTTATGACCTCTGAGATTTTGAAGGGTCCTTCCTCATGATGTGGTCAACTGTGCTGGAGAAGGAAAGAAGTCAATCTTCGAAGATTGTAGAAAAGTTTTTGGACCCAGCATTGTAGAAAAAGGTTTTGGACCCAGTGGCACAATCAAGAACTTAAAATAATTTAAAAAGAAAAAAACTTTGAAAAACTAGTTTGCTCAGAAGCTGTGATGCAAAAGGAAAAGAAAAGGAAATTAAATAATGGGTGGGCTTTCTGTAGAAATCAGGCAGTAGCATTGTTGTCCTAGAGCAGGGGTCTTCAAACTTGGCCGTTTAAGACTTGTGGACTTCAATTCCCAGAATTCCTTAGCCAGCCGTGCTGGCTGAGGAATTCTTGGAGTTGAAGTGCACAAGTCTTAAAGCGACCAAGTTTGGAGACCCCTGTTCTAGAGGGATTTCTTCTCCACCCTATTCTTCCATTGAACCAAGCAATTGTTCCTGCTGTTTAGATGCTATAAGAAACCCTCAAATATCCCAACTAATTCGAGAGAATGAAATCTGTACAGCCTCTTCCATTAATTTCAATTAACTAACATCTTCGATTAACTTCAATTAACTATTCTAAAATCAGAATAGCAAGACTAAAGCCATCTTTTGGAGATGAATCAAATCTACTTTGATGCTTCACAACAAGCATGAATGTCTTGATGGTTTCAGGGAGAAGATCTATTTAAAACTGGAGCAGAAAGTGAGGCAGCGACTCTATAGCATGGCTGATAACTGTGGCCCATCTGGTTGGATAAGGTGTTAGACTGGTTTTCTGTTTCTCAAACAACTTTTTTTCAGAGCAGTTCATTGAACATGATGCTCAATGTAACAACTTGTTGTTTTCCAGCAGGTTGTCACACCTCTTAAAAGTGCAAAAGAGCAATAAGAGGGATTTAAATTGAAAGGAGTTAACTTCAAGCTTTTTACTAACTAGCATCTGAACTCATCCCTACCTTCAGAATGTGCAGATATGTTTGAGTACAACTATGTTTGAGTACAACCCCTTTATTTTCAGTTGTTAGTAAACCTAGGCAAGCAATTTAAAAGCTGTTAAGTGAGAGGCATCAGGTTGTGAAAAGCTGACAAGATAAACTACTCTCTCTGTACAGGACACCCACCTCTCAAAGAACACAGAAAGAATTAGCACCACTTTCAAACTTAGAAGTCAACCTTAAGTCAAATCTATTTAAATGTTATATTAAGAATGCCCATTATCCTTATGCAGCACATTGATGATAAATTGATACAGTCAATCTGCAAAAAAATCATTTATGGGGATAACTAGGAAAATAAGTTATACTAAATACAAAGGCTCCCTAATTTCATTGGCACAGCCATGTAGTTTTCTTGGCACCGTGTCTGGGTAACCGTTTATTCTGAAAGCACACCTGGAGGCCTTTTTATGTTCTTGTGGCTCTCGTTAGGAGGAACCATTCACAGAGATTTATTACTTACAGTCACGCAAAGTTAAAGGTTTTGCTGTGTATGAAATGCCAGGCAAATCAAAAAACAGACCAAGTTCTGTCATTTCATTCTAAGCTAGCCACTACTTTTAGTAGTTGAATATTAATTCTGGGTTACTAATGAGCCTTGGGGTCATTCTTGAAATTTTGAAAGGTTTTATAATTTATCAGTAAACTACCCATCGGCCTATCCTTTATGCACTCAAATCAGATGCTCAAAACTGTTCAGTGCCTCAAAGGCAATCACCAAACAGAAGGAATTTCTCCAAGATAATTTAGACTTTCTGCCTACTTCTGAAAGTTTGGTCCTCCTCTGGCTAAAGAAAAGCTCCACTTATATTGCCATGGCACCAGAAGCTCAAAACAAAACAGGGACATGGAATAAAGATCTGTAAGGATAAAAGCAAGAAAACAAACACTCTTTGGGGTATAGAAGCTGTTACAAGGCACATCCTATTAAGAAAAGGCCAACAAGGCATATGGCAAGGCAAAGATTTTCAAACCAATAAATAGGTAGGCATGTTCCCTATTCAAACCATCACTCTGATTAAAGTGATAGCACTGTTCCAGTAAGTGGGGTGCCTGGATAAATTTAGGCGGCTGCCCTTTGACATTCTGTATACTAGTTCTTGGCGAAGTAAATCCAAAAAAAGGCTATTTGAAATATGTATATCGAATGCTGGTAGGGTAAAACCCAAAGTAAATTTGTCAATAAACCACTTTTGTAACTGAAGTTGAGGCTCTGTAGGCTCCAACAATGCTGAAATAACTCTGTGGTAACTATTGAAGGATTAAAGCAAAATAATAAGGAAGACTGGGCATATATTACGTATGGCCAAGTTGGTCCATGGACACTTCAAAAGTCCCATGTGGTGTCTAAAGAGGGGGCATCGCTTGATTTTACCACATCTCAGTTTCTAGCATAATGTGCTTGCTTTTTTAAAAAAAGCACTTACAGATAATTTGATTCATGTAGGACCTTCTAATGAACTGAGAATCTGAAAGTCTTCTGATTACAAAGCAAGACCACGTCCAGTGCTTAAAGTTCTGTCTTCAAGGCACACGGAGGGACATTCTTCCTAATTTTGCATATACTAAATTCCATCATCATTATAAAAACTTAAGTGGTACTATGGGTCAAGCAGAAAGGATCCCTGTTCCCAGGCTCATTCTATGATTTAACAGGCATTGAGGGGGGAAGAGATAAAATTTTTAGAAGATCCTGTTATGTACATGGTACAGTGTTTTTTAAACTCCAACCTAAATTAATACATTCCAAATTTAGCATAAATAAACTATTGTTAGGGCTGGTGGGAGCAGAAATTTAAAATTATACCCTATCTGACGGATAAAGGTGAATCACCAGCTTACTACAGTGTTTCCAATGCCTCCACATACTGTTGCAAAGGAAATTAGTACTACTTGCGAGTTTGTTGCTGTTCAACATGCCTGTCATCTTAAACAACACTTCCTGATTGCACCAGGAGCTGCAAATTTAGTCCTAAACCAAAGAAAATCTTTAACAATATATATATATTTTCATAGTAACCTGAGAATCTGGAAATCTAGGGTTCATTTTCCTTCTTTCTTGGAAGGATGTATAAGTCCCATCAACTGGGAGGGAAGGCAGTTATTTGGAAGTCGGGAAGATCAATCTTTGGTTATTGGATGAAAAGAAAGAAAAAAAAATTTGGCATTCTGGGAAGCGATGGCCGTTTTCTCTCCATCTTATCCGCCTCTGTCCCCATATTGGGAGTGTGCAGGGGCTTAATCAGACCACTCGTCTTCATCAAACTCTGATGAATCATCCTCTGAATCGCTGTATTCTACCGCAATGCGGCGTGAGAGAATGGTTGCCACGTCATTGCCCCCAACATCTCGCTTCTCTTGTTCACGCTGTTCTTCAACTTTACGGAGCTGGAATCCTGGCAAGGAAAGAAAGAAAGGAAGTTGCAGGTGCCGACTGTCATATATACTCTCTCTCTCTTTCTCTGTGTATGTATGTGTACGTGTAGAGACAAAATCACATAATGCTGAAGTAGCATTACGGGAAATAGTTGTGCACTGCCTTGCCTCCCCAAGAAGAGGGAAATGGCAGCAACTAAGACAATCAGGAAAAAAGCCCAACACAAAAGGTAACTTTCAGGTTTTACAGAATTATTCAGCAACTTGCATGTTTTGAAAAAGCAAAAATATAGTGAGGAAGATGTCAAAAGTGAGGATTATACTGTATGAGACATTGGACAAAGTGAGCTACACCAAGATGATTTTAATGATGAGATGTAGGAAGAAACTAAAAAGAATGTAACAAACGCAGAAGAATTCAGACCACAGTAAAGCATATAAAGCAGCAATGCGTATCCTCTCTCCAAAACACAGGAGTCAGGCAATTTTTCAATTAGTCCCAGTAAAAAGGATGCAGCCAATGTTGTTGTTTAAGCTTGCTGGATGGAACAGAAAAGTTAAGCTGCTACTAGTGGTTAGGAATCCAAAGGCACAATGGCAGTTGGGGAGACTCAAAGAAAATACCTTGTATGAGATTAAATTATTTCCAATATATTTTGCTAAGTTCAGAATTCCAGCAACAGCAGAACGGCTCCTAATTGGGTTGTGTTTATGATATGGCGCTTGGTCTTCAGATATCCAAAATGAGAAGAACTTACCTTGACGAATAGCAGAAAGTAAGTCACTCCTAGCTTCGCTAACAGCAGGCAATGAGGATTTTGGCTTGGAGGGCACCAAATCGGGTTGTTGAACAGAAGCCTCTGGAACACCCATGCCACCAAAAGATAAAGGGGGTGGGCCAGGAGGAGGGGGAGGAGGGGGAGGGGGTGGCACCCCACTTGTGGGCTGTGATAGCAGGGGAGATGGCACAACGGCATATTCTGCTGCTGGAGGTGGAGGGGGTGGAGGGGCAGCAAAATCTGGGTGAGGAGGAAAGGAGGGTGGAGATGGAGGAGGAGGACTGCCAGGAGTTGGAAAGCTGGCAAGTGGAGGTGGTGGAGGAACTCCCTCCATCGGTGGTGGCGGTGGTGGAGCAGGAGGTGGGGCAAAGCCGGGTCTGGTTCCCAGGGGTGAACTAATAGGAGGATCTGGTGGAGGATGGCTGGGGCTGACGAGGATGGATTTCTTCAGCCCTCCAGAAACACTCTGGCTAGGTGGATAACTGTGGAGTAGAAAGTGGGAAGAATGGAGAGCAAAAGAACCCCTCATGAGTTTTTTCCAAACAGGATCAAACACTGTCAGTGAAAAAGTACATCTTGACTGTAGTGCAAAGCAATCGGTTTTTCACGTTTTCTGATATCCCTCACAAGAACTGACTTAAATTCTGTAATTTAGATTCAATGTTCCCTCTGGAATCCTAGGCTTTTGGAAAGATTCCAACGAATGTGAAAAGAATCTGAACATAGCACCCACACTCAAATAACCTTGACATGCAATTTTTAAAAAAATCAATGTCAACAAATGCATGTCCCTTGTAATCCCACCTTTATAGAGTTCTGGCTTTCTGCAATTCTAAACAAATTACAGGCTGAATCCCCAGCATGGGATCTGGTTAACAATGTGCTCGCTGACCCATTTTTTGACTCTTGTAAAGCTCCCTGCCCCTACCTAATTTTATGTTTAGTCTTTAAATGAGAAGAATCTTGAAAAATCTGAGGACACATTTGGTGCTTTATTTGCAGTACATTGGCCCTTAAAATTAAGAGTTAGCATGCAACAAAGCACCAAGTATTTTCAGTATGCTTCTAGGCCCGATATTCTTAGAAAATAACATTGGGGATAGGGGTGGGGGACATCAGTCCAATGTTTGGCTTGATTTCTGATAAAAGCCTATTTTATAATTGATGTAGCCTTCGTGACATGCTCTTCATGGTCTCCATATTCCAAATGCACCCATATTTCAAAAGGCGTATGAGTATCCAGATACACCCACTTACATTTATTAAAATCCTTAACACCATAATATATTTATTTCATATCTTTTACAAGTAAGAATTTGTTTCCTTTTAATTAAAGTACTTAGCTAATTCCCCATTCCTCTTTAATTTGTAATTATGGTAAGATATACCATCACCAAGACTATAAATCAGGGGTGTCAAACTCAATTTCATTGAGGGCCGCATCAGCATTGCAGTTGCCCTCAGGGGGCCGGGTGGGTGTGGACAGGGTGGGTGCAGCCTACTGGGTGGGCGTGGATGGAGTGGGTGTAGCCTACTGGGTGGGTGTGGCCAGCTCTACATCGTTTGTATCAAGGGTGCCTGTACGGGCCTGGGCAGGAGTGGGATAGATCTGTGGGTCTCTGGCAGAAGGGGGTGGGACCAGAGCAGGTACCAAGGCATGGTCCACTGGAGGAGCCTCACTGTTCCTCTCAGGCCATGTGTGTGGGGGGGGGCTTATGGAGCTAAGACTGAATGTGTTTCAGCATAGATGGCCACCACAAAACTGTACATGGGCTCCCAGCTGGCCTGGGCCAAGGCCAAGGCAGAGGGGGCCATTCCTTCACTGTTTCCAGGATGGCTTCGCGGGCCACATGAAACCACTTCGCGGGCCGCATCCGGCCCCCGGGCCTTGGGTTTAACATGTCTGCTATAAATAACTGAATGTTTCTACGAAGGAAAAAATGATATATAAAACAAATCGTAACAAGCACTGCAATGGAACCGCAAACACAGGAGGGCAACTCTTGCTTCAGCCTAGTGTTTCAAGTATTGCTTGAAAAAAAAAAGTGTTTTGACAAGTTACAACCACTGACTGCACTAATGGACAGGTTCTTTAGGATCTTGTCTGAGTTGTTTTGATGGTTAGGGAGCCTTCAGCAATACTTACCTAAATTCTGCTGGTGGTGGCGGAAGACTATCATCGAATATTGGAGGAGGTGATGGTGAAGCTGATTCTGGCTGTGGAGGAGGTGGATAGTAGGTAGCATCAACGCTCTCATTGGAGCCAATGCTACCATTCTGATACACCATGTTAGGAGGGTACCTAAAACCACAAAAGTACAGTTGTGAGCCAAGAGCCTCCCCTTCCCAAAGTTCAAAGGAGCTTCAAAGGTAGAATGCTTATAGCATGTGCAAACCGTATAAACCAGTGTTTCTCAACCTTGACAATTTTAAGGCATGTGGACTTCAACTCCCAGAATTCCACAGCCAGCATTGCTTAAAATTGCAATTAAAATTGCAATTTTAATTGCAATACCAATTGCAATACCAGTGTTTCTCAGCCTTAAAATTGTCAAGGTTGAGAAACACTGGTATAAACAATAGTAACTTGGCTAGACTTTTATATCTATACAGGAAGTCCTCGACTTATAACAGTTCATTTAGTTACAACAGCACTGGAAAACGTGACCTATGACTCTTTTTCACACTTACAGCTGCTGCAGCATCCCCATAGTCATGTGATCAAAATTCAAATGCTTGGAAACTGGTTCAGATTTATGACAGTTGCAGTGTCCTAGAGTCATGTGATCATCTTTTGCAACCTTCTGACAAGCAAAGCCAGATTCACCTAACAACCATGTTACTAACTTAAGAACTGCAATGATTCACTTAACAATTGTGGTGTAAAATGGGGCAAAACTCACTTAACAAATGTCACACTTAGCAACATAAATTTTGAGCTCAATTGTGGTCGTAAGTCGAGGACTACTTGTACTGCAGCTTCTTACTATTAACTTGAATTTCAGTTATAGGGGCAGAGATCACTTTACCCATATGTGTAGACTCAGACCTCTGAAATCAATATAATTTATCTCCTTATAAAAATTATACTATTCTTTAAAAAAGAAAAATGATGGCTCACACCAGCAATCTTTTCCTATTCAAGAATGATTTTTCATCTGTTCATACCACATGGCACTTACACAAAGTGGCAAGTGTAAAAAAAAATATGGAAGGGTTCAGATGCCAATCTCAAAGTCACTTATTAGAAGAATAGTACCAAAATAGGGCCAGCAGTATATCACTCTGATTCAGTTTAACCAATTTGCTATGCATTCCCAAGCCAGCTGATCCTGGCTACAAGTGATGGATGTAAAACTAATATGGAGAATTATCCAAATTTCACCCGTTTGCCAAAACTATTAAAAAGGCTTTCAAGATTCGTAATTGACATTTTCAGTTCATTACAAGAGTAAATATGTGTGGACAATAAACACACGTGGTCACGGAGAGAGGACCTTGGAAAAGTAACTGGACAGCTCTCTTCCAATGATTTCAGAATACACACGGGAAAAACTTCATGGCCTCGCTCAGCCATTCATTTATTCCAACATTGTCAAAGGCTTCTCTTTCGCAACACAAATGATGTGCCACTCTAGAAACAATTTTAGATGTGGGGGTTTTCCCCACCTTTTTCTAAGGGAAGAAGAGCTGAATGTGATTGTGTATGTATGACCTTGACAAAAAGGTCAGTATATCATGAAAGATGGAAATTTGGCCTTTATTGTAAGGTTATCCTATGGGATGCGATGGGATGGGACAGGACGGGAACATTTCACTGCAGTATCCCCCTAAATGCAGTGAAATTGTTTTTGAAATGGATAGTTTTCTTTAATCTGCAGCTTCGATTAATAAGATTATTGACCCCTAAAGGAGATCATGTCTACCTTCTCCTAAATAGCAGAAGACCGTAAGAATTATCTCATACGTTTGTTTCTTAGGGTAAAAATGCTATTCCATATTAGTGTTTCTAATTAATGTAATTAAGAATACACCACATCCAATATATCTCTACAGCAAAATGACTGGCCCCAAATAAAAGTAGACAATTTATATTTCTGATAGATGAAGATATCCCCAAAAGTCAAGCTGATAGGTAGAATTCTCTTCTTTTAAATGCCACAGTATGGCCTAAGTAATGAAGAGGTAGTTTGTTGAACATGTCCCAATTCTAAAGCTGCTAGCAGGAACAATAATCTCCAAATCAGCTCCACTATAACAACCTATATTGGTTCTAATCAGCAGTAGACAAATTCAGCACTTGTTGAAGGGAAGTCAAGGTTGCATAGTTAAGATATGAATAAGTTTGTACTACTAGGCACTTATCTCATCTACTTTTTCTCAATTTGCTCACTATGCAATAAGTAAATGGTTTTGTGAACTCTAAATGAAAGAGCATGGTAATTATTTCACTAGTCTCAAACCCCCACATTTCTATATTAACTATAATAAAAATAAAGTTACCTTCAAGTCAAGCACTACTCCTGGTGACTTACACTTCAGACCCATGCAGTTTTCTTAGCATGACTCAAAACTAGTTTGATAAGGAGCCAGATTTTTTTTTTAAAAAAAATCTTTTTTTAAAACATAGCCTTAAAGAAATGTGCTAAGATTCAAAAATCTACCTCAACTATTCACTATTAACTAGAGCAGGCTCAGTCAAGCAGACTACACACGTTATATCACAATCAATTTTAACATTCCTTCTTAGGAAGGCTACTTACTATTCAGGAACAAAAATATTTAGCCTTGTTGGCCACAGGAACAATTCCATGGCCAGCATTACAGTTATCTCTTACCCTCCTAGTCCATGTTTTTCCCTTGTATCAACAAACTCTTGACCCATTTTCATTTTTTCCCATTCTTCTTTTCGGCTTTTTATCTTCCGAGGATTTACATTTCCTCTATTAGGATTATCCTTCTTTTCTTTCTATAAAATAAATAAATAGGAAGCAACTGTAGGTACCATTAGCCCTTTAAGCTTGTCATGTGCAAAGAAAGGTTATCTCAATAAAAATGTACATAATAAGGAACATATTCTCTCACTAGATCTAGCTACACTTATATGTTTTATTTATTTAATTTATATGCTGCCCATCTCCCGGATAAGGTGAATCTGGGTGGCTTACGCCTATCCAATAGCACAAGTATTTAATAGTTCTTAGGCATCAATGCTTTATCTGAGTTATGTGTTTTGTAAATAGGTGTCCACTGACAAATGAAAATAATGTGCATCTTTACAAAAGAGACCAATAAGATATTCTTCAAAAGTCCAATCACAGGATTATATCTTACCTACTATAAGAAGATACCCAAGTGTAAAAACACAAATAAATAAGAGCTGGGGTGTTATGTTGTTTTTTTGCTATTAGCAAGCAACTGCTACATAATAGTCTCTTGATGTCACCGCTGCTAAATCAAACCTTAATTTAATGGTTCAGAATTTCCACAAATTAATTGCAGAAGGCTGGCTGGCACCAAGTAAGGTAATATTTTGGTTAAGAAAGCCTAAAAGGAAGCTACTAAAGGGATTGTGGGGGATAGAAAAAGCTTCTTAGAAACTGCAAATTTCCCACATAACTATTTGCCTTTTCACTAAGTGTTGTTAGAATGTAATTTCTATCACTTTTACTCATCCCTAAATAAAAATGCAGTTAAAGCATAGGAAAATGCCATCTAGATAAAGCTTTTTTATGAGTATGATTTCCCAACTGATTTATTTCAATTGAAAATATTCCCAAAATAAGACATCTTTTTGCAACATCTTAACCCAGAAATATGGAGCAGATAACTTAATCCACATTAGATAGATAGATAGACAGACAGACAGACAACCTTTATTGTTAATTTTAATGTGGGCACAATGGCACAGGAAATCCCAACTTTGCTCAGTTGCAGGTTTAAGTGTACAAATAATCCTACCATTGGATATTCAATTCATATTATTATAACAATATGAACTATTTTGTAACAAAAACTTATTCAAGATGGGCAATGTTTTCAGACCACAGAGTTCCCTTCTAACAATTATTACTAAAAATAATGGCATACCTGTACTGTTCTGAGTTAGAAAATAGAAGAAAATTCTAAATCCAGAACAGGGTTATCAGTGATAAAAAGGAAACAAAGGCCTTAAAACCTCTTTCCCCAAATAGTCCCACTCACAGTAAGAGATGTGGTTTCATCTACTTTGCTGCCTGCAGCTTCTCATAAGCTTAAGTATGAACTTTGGCCATCAAAAGTTGCCTTATTCTGCTTCATATATTATTCTTGTAATTGAGTACATGACACTAGAGCAGAAGCACATATAATGCATAAAGAAAATTGAGTGAAGTCTGTCCCCCAGCCAATCCCCCCCCCCCACAAACCAGCTGTGTGATTGTCCATATCCACCAAGAGTTGCCAGCAGTCAGGCAATGGCAATCTCCTACCTTTCTCTTCTCTTTGTTCAAAGTTAGAACCAAACAAATTTGCATAAGCAAAACTGTGCCACCCATCTCACCCTATGCTTCCGTCTCTCTTTCATAATATCCTTGGTATCCTGCAGCATTTTCTCCTTCCAAAGATCAAAGAAATATGATGGATCTGTGTAGAATTTAAGTGCTTCCTTGCCATCATCCCTAGGAGAGAGGATATCCATACAGAATGAGATGGTTACATATGTGTACCCGACAACCAAATATGAAACAGAGATAGTAAGGGAAAATACCACAACAATAAGTTTCCCTTTTAAGGTAAACCAAAATAAGTGGAAATTCTACACCAGTGACAGACTTCAATATGCAAAAGGCAATATTTTGAGATAGCATGGAGATATATATACTTCCTCAAATTTGGGGCAAAGCAAAGCAACGGGAACCGGAAGTTGCCAATTGCTTGGTCAACAGGGGTGGGCTCGGCTGCACGGCACTGGAAGCGCAAGGCAGAGGCGCCCTGAAAACAGACCAGAGGGAAAGCAGAGCAGAAGGGAAATTGAAACCACCACCTCCCAAAACCCCACCTCTGGACAACCTTTTCCTCTCCTTTCTGAACACCCTGATGGTCCCCTGTGATGGGCAAGGGGGGGCAGCAAGAGGAGGGTGCCGTCTGCTACGGGGACTTCGACCGGTACTTCATTTTGGAGTGGCAGGGCGTTGCAGTGGCTGTGCAGGATGAGGCTGGACTGCACAGGACGCTTTGTTTTGGGAAGGGGCACAGCAGTCCTGGCAGTTTTTCAAAACTCCGCGGCAGTTTTTTCCCTTTGCTTTGGGTACCAATTTGGACAAAAAACACTTGGCGGATGCCGCGTTCCTCTTTCATTCCTCTTTGAAGGAAGGTTGAAAGAAAATTTTGGCTCCTTCACTGGTTTCTTTTTGCAACGCTGCTTTTTTGGGGAGGGGGGAGTTTAGCAAAGAGAGCTGTGGCCTGTTTGGTCAGACTTACAAAACCCCGTTTCCAAAGTAAATCCCTCGCTCGGCTTCCCTCATGGGATGCAATTCCCGCAGAGCAGCCATTTAAGACAGGGCTGGGGAACCTTGGCTCTTGTATGACTCATGGTCTTCAACTCCCAGAATTCCTGAGCCAGCCATGCTGAGGGGAAAGGGAGAGGTTTCCAAGCTGAGCCATGCTGGCTCAGGAATTCTGGGAGTTGAAGTCCACGAGTCATAAAAGAGCCAAGGTTCCCTACCCCTGGTTTAAGATCTCTGAACTCCAGAGTCAATTTGAAACTTGCTCCATGGCTGTGATGGATTATTGATTCAATCAATAATTAAAAGTTAGCATCTACATACCCATGAAAAAGAAATATATTTGGGAAATATTAAACAGGCAGGAACAGTAGGAAAAGAGCTAGAAAACCTAGCCCCCAAAACCAACTATTACAAATATGAAAGGCTGCTTCAAAAGAAACATCCATTTCCCTTCTCTTAGAAAAGTCAAGCTGAAAAATAAAAGCACCAGAGAAGAAGGGTTCCCCCCCCCCTCTCTCTTCCTCCCCTTCCCAGTTAGTAGCCTCTGGCAGACAGCCAAGAAGCAGGAAGCAACAGAAACAATGCAGTGATAAGCCCTAGCCTTGAACAAATTAAAAGAAAGCTGCTGGTCAAGTTTTTGACACCTTGCTAGGATCCTAAAAGTGGTAAAAAGGTTGAAAAGCCCTGCTTTAGAGGGTGGAATTTAAAGTAAGCACATGATATTTCTCTGGGATATGTTACCTGTATGAAGATAGAATGTTAAGAGGTGGTGGTTTATTACAAGTTTTGTATGTTTCAAGGACAGGCAGAGGGGCAGACTCTCTCTCAAAGAGCTTTTGGTCCTGAGTCGTGGAGCTCTTAAAGGCTTTCCTGGTGTTAATACCTTGCAATGACACTATGAAGAAAAAGTAACAGGAAAGAAAATAGTCATTTGAAACCCAAGTTAATATTTTTACAAACAATTTTTTTGCCACATCTCCAGGAAAGCTTTCAAAAACGAAACTCTTTTTTGATGCTATTTCAGAAAGGATTGTCAGGAAGGGAATTGTACAAAAACCAATAGAAATTATTATTTACCAAAGGACCCAAACTGTTATGGAATTAGTTATCATATTCAAAGTAAAATACTACCCAGAGGTCATGCAGTTTCTCTTTTTTTTTTTCTTGCAGTTTATGAGGCAATTCCCAGATGTGGCCAAATTTTATCTAGCAGTTTTGGGAATGTAGCAACAAATATTATCAAACATGGCTGGGTTCTTTGAAATGTTTTTTTTTTAAATCAATATTTCCATGGGCAATTCCTTGTTGCCTCCTGGATCCTCTTCATTGTTAATTATGATTTTGATGGATTTTTGTGTATATGCTTGTCTTTGATTAAAAACAGAGAAAAGCATGGAGAATCGGTCCTCTCTAAACAGAGGAGATTGAAAAAGATATCATGTAAAATTAGCAGTTGGCAATTTTATAAAAAGATTATTTAGCCAATCAAAAAGTAAAGTATTTCAAACAGCTTGACGTGAAAAAGAAACAACTATCCAGATGCTTTTTGTAAAATCTAGACTCTAATAAAACTCAGGTCAATATGGTGCTTCCCCTCCCTACTCTTTCCAGTAATCCAATGGATGCAACAGATTGGAGTGTCCAACCTTGGCAACTTTCAGACTTATGGACTTCAACTGCTATCTGAACTTGCAAAAAGTGACTGTATCCTGCATGTTTATTTCTTAATCTCTTTTAATGTTCCCTTTCTTTCTCAAAAATGTTGGCAGTTAACCCGCACACTAAACACAAACAGCTGAATTCTACGGTCTCACCAGAAGAAAGGACTGGAGAGGACCTCAAGGCAAGGGGTGCTTCTTTTGAACATGGTTGCCCTTTCCTCTATACCAGTGTTTCTCAACCATATCAACTTGAAGATGCATGGACTTGAACTCCCAGAATTCCTGAGGCAGCATGGGAAATTCTGGGAATTGAAGTCCACACATCTTCAAGCTGCCAAACTGACAAACACTGCTCTATACAAAGTGGTAAGCAAAAAGGCATTCAAGCTTCTCACTATTATGAAGTGACTTCTCCTTCCATAACAAAGCAGGGTACCACTTTTATACAAGAATCTCTTGGGCAAGCATGATGAAAAACTTGATGGTCAGCTGAGACTGCTGGGTGACTCAGGGTGATTTCCTGAAGTCTCAAGAAAAAATTGGCTACTGCTGCAGTTCTGAATCATAATGTTCTAAAAATATAACATTTTATATACCTTCTTCCTCCTTGGGATCCAACTGAGTAACTTTCATCTGAAGGCGATCAACTCTCTCAACTAAAGAGCTGACTCGAAAGGAAAATGTGGTTGCTTGCGTAAATAGCTCTCCGAATATGTCCTCCGCAAACTTACCTAGAAAAAGAAAAAAGAGCATGCAAATTGAAATGCTGGAAAAAAATTCCCAGAAAAAGATCAACAGTAAAACCACTTTCATGCAATTGCTCCTGCAAACCCTCCCCCCACATGTGTGGGCCAGGCAATCACAAGTTGACCTCAATGAAATGAGTCTTTAACTTAAGCATATGCATAATTAAGTATTTTTACTGCTTTTATTCCCAGGATGCAATTATAGAAAACAATACATTTTCCTTTAAAGCTAGAACATTAGGTTTTTTTAAAAAAGCTTCCATAGAAATACTGAACATACACATGGTACTTCCATAAGTTAAGCTTATTTATGGTCTCAAACTAATAAAGCATAAAATACAATACTTAAAAGCACAGCAAAAGCAAATCCAAAACAAACAGTAATGAGGTACCAATTGACTTCTGCAAGCTATAGCTACAAATTGACAAGAACATCTTTCAAAATAAAAGGAAGGAAGTGATACATAATTGGTAAAGACTTATTAAGTAGTAAGAAAGATAATCAGGAGTCAAACTGTAGCATCACAGAAAAGCAGCTATTTACAACCAAAAAAATAAGATTCTCACAAGCTTAATAATCAGATTTACTGGTAGTATAAAGCAAGTTAGATTACAACAATCTTGGCAAGTGGATATGTTTATTTTCTGCCAATTATTAAAGTGGGCATTCCCTGAACCTCCTCCCAATTGCCTGTTCTTACAATGTGGAAGTGGCTTCCTGTTTTCCTGATAAAGAGGAAATGGGGCGTTGTCTTACTTGAACACCTTTTCTCAGCACGGAGATGGAGAATCCACCAATGGGTTTAGACCAGTGGTTCTCAACCTGTGGGTCGGGACCCCATTTGGGGTCGAATGACCATTTCACGGGGGTCGCCAAACATGGCTGCCAGCCATTTTTTCCCCCTTTTCTTTGGCCACGCCCCTGGCACCCGGTGATGTATAAGTGGTTGGGGGTCACCACAACATGGGGAACTGTATTATGGGGTCGCGGCATTGGAAAGGTTGAGAACCACTGGTTTAGACTGTATTCCTGCCCAATCAGATCAAGTCAGCCAAAGTTGCCATGCCCGTCCTGGACCATAGAGATCCCAGTCTTGACACGAGCGTAGCCATTGACTGACAGCAAGATGTTATGGCTCACAAAAAATAACTAACCCTAGGCCTATAAGGGCAGGAGTGGATTCTCCATCTCCGTGCTGAGAAAAGGTGTTCAGGTAAGACAATGCCCTTTCTCCAGCACTGGAGATGGAGAATCCACCAATGGGACATACCAAAGACTACTGTCCCTGAGGGTGGGTAGTAGACTGGTCTGGTGTGACACTTTGATGTAAAACCTGTTGGAGAACTCTCCTACTGAAGGAAGCCTCAGCCGAGGCAAACCTATCAATTTTGTAGTGTTGTATGAAAGAAGATGGTGAAGTCCATGTAGCCGCCCTGCAGATGTCCTCAATGGACACCTGGGTGGCCCATGCCGCAAAAGTAGCTGCACTCCTTGTAGAGTGGACTGTAACGCATCGTGGAACCGGCAATGACTCAGCTTGATATGCCCCAGCAATGCATGTCCTGATCCACCTGCCAATTGTGGAAGAGGAAACCATCCGACCCCTGGAGGAAGAATGGAAGGATACAAAGAGGGCTTCAGATTTGCGGAATGCTGCTGTCCGCAAAATATAGTATCGAAATGCTCTGCGGACATCCAGACTATGCCATTACTGTTCCAGAGCATGCGATGGATTGGGACAAAAATCCAGCAGTACTATTTCCTGAAATCTATGGAACAGAGAGTTGACCTTCGGGATGAAAGTAGGGTTGAGTCAAAGGACCACTCGATCCTGATGGAAAATGCACAGGTCATCCCCTGTTGAAAGCGCTGCCAATTCTGAAATACATTGTGCTGACGTGATTGCCACCAGGAATGCCACCTTGTGAGACAGGTAGCGAACATCGCACGTCCTCAGGGGCTCAAAGGGGAACTTGGTAAGAGCCCGAAGGACCCGTGGTAATTCCCATGAAGGGTACCTGTGTACCGTAGGGGGCCTGGTGTTAGAAGCTCCCTTAAGGAATGAGCGAATTAAGGGGTGATGTCCCAAAGACCCCGCGGAGTCACAGGTGAGGACTGTGGAAAGAGCAGCTATCTGTCTGCGCAATGTGTTTGGGGCCAAGCCCCTTTCCAGGCCTTCTAACAGATAGTCCAAGACATGGGGAATCATGAGTTCCAAGAGTGTCAAGTGTCGACCATGATTGAAAATTCTTCCACATGGCCTCGTAAATATGATTTGTGGAAGGACGACGGGAGGCCTGGATTACCTTAATGAACCCTGGTGAGCATAGCTCCTGTGTCAAGATTGAGCACTCAAGTGCCAGACGGCTAACTGGAGCCATTGGGGATCCGGATGGAGAATAACCCTTTGGCTGAGAGAGACTCGTTCCGGATGAATCCACCAAGGGTCTGCTAGAGCGAGGCTCATCAGATTGGCGAACAAATGCCTCCTTGGCCAATAAAGGGCCACCAGGAGTACCTCCGCTCGCTCCCAAAGAAGCTTGCGTATTACCACAGGGATAAGAGGTAGAGGGGGAAAGGCATAAAGCAGGCCTCGTAGCCATAGGCTCCGAAGAGCATCCGTCCCTTCCGCCCCTGGAGATGGGAACCTGGAGAAGAACCGAGACAGCTGAGCGTTGTTCGGGGATGCAAAGAGGTCCAAAAGTGGAAGGCTGAAACAGTGACAGATCTCTCTGAAGACCCTCCGGTGAAGGCGCCACTCCGAGTGATCCACCGTTGTTCTGCTCAGAAGGTCGGCCTGAGTGTTCGCCTCCCCTGAAATATGATCGGCCTTGATGGAGGCCAGATTGTGTTCTGCCCAAGATCCCAGTAAGAGCGACTCGGTCAGTAAGGCCCGAGATTTGGTGCCTCCTTGGTGGTTTACATGAGCCTTGGCAGCCACGTTGTCTGTGAGGACCAGCACATGATGCCTTTTTATCAGGCTGTGAAAATGGCGAAGGGCTAGATGTATGGCCCGTAGCTCGAGCCAATTTATGTTGTGGCAAAGGTCTGAGCGAGACCAGCGGCCCTGTGTCCACTGCGAACGAAGGTGTGCTCCCCAGCCGAACAGACTGGCATCTGTTGTTAGTACTATCCGGTCTGGTTCCCTGAAACAAGACCCTCTGAGCATGGCGAGTGATAGCCACCACGTGAGGGAGTGCACTACCTATTGTGGGAGTCTTACCCTTCATTGGGAGGCACTGAGGTTCTGTCTCTGGAAGGGTAGCATGAACCATTGTAGTTCCCTGGAGTAGAGCCTAGACCAGGGGACAATTGTTATGGCCGAGATCATCTTGCCTAACGGTTGGGAGAGACTGACCAATGTCACTGTCTGATTCCTGTGCAAGTTGAGGACTGACTCTTATGCTGTTCCGGCGTTCTTGGAATAAGTACACCCAGCACTCCACCGTGTCTATGATGGCCCCAAGGTGCAACAGCCTGGTCGTGGGGACCATATGACTCTTGGGAAAATTTATGGAGAACCCATGGTCCTGGAGCAGCTTTACCACCAGTTCGAGGTCCGTCATGGAGGACTGGGTGGACAATGACTGGATTAATATTAATAAGCAGCTTGGAGACTCCAAAAAAAAAAAAAAGGCTGGCGCAGTACAATGACCTCCCTATCTGGGAGAACTCTGCGCCCCCAACTAATGCCTTTTTTTGGAAAACCGAAAATTCTTCGTCCCTCTGTCTGCCGCCGAACAGCTGATCAGCGGTTGCCGTTTGGCGAGCAGCGTGCCTTCGGCCTGAGAGGGACGATCGCAGCTCCCGAACTAAGTTAAACAACCAGAAAAAAATGAGGGGCTTAAATGGGCAGCGGAGCTGCAGCCGCAGCTTCGAGATCGATTGTGAAAGTCTGAAAAAAACCAGCTCTGTTAAAAGAGGACCTCCCCCACCCCGCCTGAGCTTGCCACGAGGCAACGGAGCTGCAGCCGCAAGCTCCGGCAACAATTAGACCAATTTAGAATCAGTTGGGGACTAACAGCCGTTAGTCCACAGATGATAGAAAAAACAATTTAGGGACTTTGAGGAGGTCTGTGTATCAGAGAGGAGAAAATAAAGGTAAAGAGAGGAAGAAAAGGAAGGAGCCCCTTCCTTGAACCCTCAGTAATTCCCCCCCCCACAACTGGAATCTTTTGAATGGAAAATTTTAGACTGTTCCTGAATGGAAATCAAATTATTAATATAAAGCCAAATTCTGTGCTGAATACAGCACTGCTCAACTACTGGATCTGGAAATCCACCAGTGAAGACTGTACCTGCCTAAGAGCCAAACTTGCATGTCTGTCCTGGGCAAGATCAAGTCAAGACTGGGATCTCTATGGTCCAGAACGGGCGTGGCAACTTTGGCTGACTTGATCTGATTGGGCAGGAATACAATCTAAACCCATTGGTGGATTCTTCATCTCCAGTGCTGGAGAAGCAGATATTCCATACTTGCAATACTTGGAAACACACCGTTCTCTTTCCTAAGAAGGCCATTACACATACGGTGGGGTCTTTTTAGCTTCTAATATGGTCTGCGGGATAAAAAAAATATAGCTCTATTCCACTGTCTTCTGAAAGCTCTAAAAGACTGACTTCATTACATGATACCCAGAGGAGGTCCCATCTCTCTGCTTTCCTTCACACTGGGCACAAAGTCATTTATTATTTGCAGGTGGCAGCACCAGACACCAAAGCAAGGTACTTTCAAGGTTGAAAATAATGTTCCCAATGTTGTATGGGAGATTTAATGTTTCTACTAAATCAAACAAAAGATCCGGAAAAGAAACTTCATGGGGAGCAGATATTAAAAAACGTTTAAATAAATAATTAAAACAAATTAAAGTCTACAGGCAAACTTATGGAACACCTGAAATTTCCTGGGGATGTCTGAGAGGCCCACAGCAGCATTCAACAATTTCGAAATGCCAACAAAACGGACAAAATCATTTAGTATTTATTCAGTTTTATTGATGGGCTCCTTGTTTTCACAAAGACAAGATCCTAAGTGTGCAGCAGGAGAAGCAATGATGGTTAACAAAGACTGAAAGATGTAGAGATATATGGTGAACAGCATTAGTGTGAATTCTTTTTAGCCATGTTTCCTTCACCCGTCCTCACCTTAACTACTTCAGCATACAAAAAAGACAGCAAATTATTTTATGGTTATGCATTTATGTAATATACTTATGTATACATACTATGTATTACTGTGAGATTTCGAGTGTGAACCTATCTAGAAAGAATACCCAAATGTAGCCTGCAATGTAAAGTACTCTTTGTCACACAGTACTTTAAAAGGGTTGTCTTTCACACTTCATAGTGCCAAATTTGCACTCTATTCTTTGTACAAACATAATTCTCCCTTGATGCTATCACCTTTGATTAAATGGAACACACACTATTTTATTTGACTCACTGTTTGTACTTCTATTGAGTCTCTACACCTCAGGGAATTAGCAGATCTCTGGGGATCCGCAGGTGAAATGTTAACTTTTTCAATAAACCCTTTTATCTTGAAAAGTATTGCTTTTTTCACCATACTATCCCCTTAACTCTGTAACTGCACAAGTGTCACATATGAAAATAAGTGGTTTCTCAATCCATAAAGTTCACACACTACTATATGTGAAGCAGGGAGAGAGAAAAACAAACTCAGATAAAATATGCTACATCTATATAATGTTTCTGGATTAACTGCAGCAAGGGTATATGTACCATTTCCAAAACAATCTAGAAAGAGCAAGGCTTAAAGGTTTTGACTATCTTCAATCATACACAAATTTTAATAATAAAAATATCATAATCAGGGACAGAACCAGAGCTGCCTCATCCCCCCCCCATTTCCTAAAAAATGAACAATGATTTCAGAAAAAGGCTCTTTCCACAATTTTCATCCAACATTAATATCCAAACTGTTCTGCTGATATATTTCAACCTTTTCAAGAGTTTAAAGCATCATTTTATGTACATGTCAAACTGTCTTGTATACATATTTGCTTTGCAGACAGAAATACTACGGTTCCTTCCAAAAAGAATGGGGAAGAAGAGAGAAGACAACAGATCTTCAGCAGGGGAAGAAGCAGCAAGCCCCTTTACCACATTAGCCCCTTGACTCACTATAGTCATTATTTGGGATTGCACAGTAGAACAGATGTGGTAAACCTATTTCTTTTTCAAACTGAACTGAACTACTAGTGTCAGCATGAACATGTGTACTGAGTGATCTGTAATAGTTAGTTCTGCAAGGATGTTGGCAGTTGTTTAATAGTAAAACAAAAGATTTTCCACCAACACAGTCCCTACCCTCAATAAATAAAGCCTGGAACATCTAGAACTAGATTATATGTAAAACAAAAATATTTGCTCTGGTTAATCCTAAAATTCCAAACAGGTTTTGATTTATATTTTGTTTTTTTGTACAATCTGACACTTGGTTTTTCACTCTAGCTTGTTAGGTACAACTCAAGCTCCTGATACACATGTGAAGTTAAACAAGGGACTTCCACTTGGAAGTGGGACTTGGTTGATCCTGCTGACAGAAGAGGTGCAACAGGAGCAAGTAAGCAACATGTACCAGCTTACTTGCATGTTTAAGCAAGCCAAAAAACACATAAAAAGGTAGATAGATCTCTGCATTTGAATTATACTCTTAAATGGTAAGACTGTGTACTGCACCTTCTTGGGTTCACCTTTTCCTGAACTCTGGGAGACAGCAAGCTACCTAGCACCAGTGGTAGTTAAGTGAATAGGCAAGTGGAAGTAAAATGCAAGGCACTGAGACGATTGCATGATGGTTGTATAATAAATAGTCTCCTTTGCACAACTGATCCTATGAAATTTATAAATTTGCTTCTATGATTTTCCTAATCCTAATTATTAGATTTTTTTCCTGCTGCTTGGACAGAGATGGCCTATAAATAAAGCAGACGAACAGCACATTTTCTTTATAGCTTGTGTCATGGACACACAATGTGCTTGCAACTTTCCACTCTTCTATAAACGCTGGGATGTTTACAGCACAATCTTATGTATGTTTATGCAGAAATGTTTCACTTCATTCAACAGGAAATTCAAATACATGTTCACAGGATTGAACTTTTCAACTTCAATATGCACATTTACATATCCTTGCATGCATATAGGGAAGTCTGTGAGTAAGCTCTATGACAGTGACAGTGAACCTTTTAGAAACCAAGTGCCCCAAAACTGCCCCACCCACGACCCCACCCTGTCCCTGCTCCGTCCCCCCACCTCACAGGACCACCCACCCCCTCCACAGCCCACCGTAGCAGATCTCTCAGGCGACCCAGCAGCATCATGGCGGCCATCCCCTCCGCCCACATCCCGCAGCATTATCTACGCGAGACAGGGTATGAGGGTGGAGTCTTGTCCCTGCTGCCATGTGCTTGGCTGCACTGCCTCATGCGGGCCATGCCTGGGGGCAACTCTCCTTGGGGGAGGGCTGCTGGTGAGGAGGGGGCGAGGCGGGGCTGGGGCAATGGTGCGAATGCCCACAGAGAGGGCTCCAAGTGCCGCCTCTGGCATGCGTGCCATAGGTTCGTCACCACTGCTCTATGACTTGCAGGAATAAAGGCTTTGAGTTGTGCTTTTAGAATGATTGTATAAAGCAATCTTTCTTCATCTATTCATCTTCTGATATCTGGACTAAAACTAAATTCCTATGTTACGGAAGAATGATTCTGTTATATAGCAGCGTGTCCAAGAAGCTATAATATTGCAATCAGGTTGTATACAGGTAGTCCTCAACTTACGACAATTGAGCCCAGAATTTTGATTGTTAAGTCATTGTGGGCCTGTTGAATCACCACATAAGTAGACTCAATCTTATAATTATTTTTCTGATGGTCGTTAAGTGAATTTCCATGGTCATTAAGCTAATCACATGGTTAAGCAAATAGCAAAGGTCCTCAGAAGAAAATCAGTGGAAGCAACTTACCGGAGCAAGTTGCGACCTTTCCTACTGGCTTTCCCATTGACTTTGCTCGTGGGAAGGTGGCAGGGAAAGTCACAAATGGTCATCATGTCAGATGTTGCAACAGTCGTAAGCACTGCTGGTTGCCAAGCACCCATATCATGATAATGTGACTGTAGGGATGCTATGATGCTTAGAATTTTGAGGACTGGTCATAAATACCACTTGTTCAGTGTTAAGGAACCATCAATTAGTCCTCAGATTATGAACTCATTCACTGACTGTTCAAAGACACATCAGATAATCTTCATAATCTGAGGACTATCTGTGGTTCCTTAGCACCCTCAGTCATCTTTAGAGGCTCTCCTCTAGGTGTCCTCTGCCATGAAATAAGGCAGAGAGGGGCCTGCTTGTGAAATGTTTGCAGAGGATAGCATACCAGGCACTTGCACTGAAGGGTATCAATGCCAGGTTAAGACATTCTTTTTCTTCTACAGGAATATAGTTAAAAAAGCAAACATTTTTACAATCAACTTTTGATTTTAAGTGTTCATATTATACTGAGATTTTGGTTCTGTATGGTTTTCATTAAATCATTCCTGCTCTGCTTGTTAATTCATTTTACTATTTGTTTGCCATGCTTTAAGTAACTATAATCTGCTGAGAGAATTCTGGTTATTGGGCAATTTGGAAATATTAATAATTTTAACCACCACATTTTTTACTAGCTTGGATAGAATCACTAATTATTTATTTCAAAGAATATTTATTTATTTATTTCAAAGAATAAATGAAGTATGTTTAGTAAATCATTTTGAAAAATGAAGTCTGCTAGAATAAAGTAACACTTCAGTTGCAAAAATTTCTCTTTTTATTACTTCAGCCCATGTTTTACTCAGCTTTTATATGAAGATATTGTTCAACCAGATTAAAACTATACCCAACTAATTAATATTCATCTGCAGACATATTCAGCAAGAGAATAAATTAAAACTGGGGGATTTCAGGTACGCAATGAAGTTTCAGTTCTAATCATTAAATTGCCTCATATTCTGACAAAATTCTGAACACTGAAATCTGAACAATGCTTAATAGTGTGCCCCGTGTTTTATCTCAGCTTTTAATCCAACTATCCTGTGCATTCCTCTCAAAGAACATTACACGGAAGATCTTTTGGTACCGAGAAAGATGGATAATAAATAAGTCACAAGGAAAGAGGGCAGCAAGAAAGAATTGGGAGTCCAACAGCTCTTGAGAGCAGTTTGCTATGGTACTTACTCAAACTGCCCAGCTGTCGAATGACATTTGCCAGGGTGATGTTGGTCGCACATTCCAGCTCATTCCGAACACTGGGCAATGTCTGGCGGCACAGGTGCCTTGGCTCAATATTTCTTGTTACTAATGGCATGGTGGATCAGCTTCAAACAGGGCTCTGAAAGATAAAGAATAATCCCCAAACAGCAAAAAGATTATATGGCCACAGACCTTAGCAACAATAGAAATACACTGATTTTCCTTTTCATACATTCTATCATATCATAACACAGTTATGTATTCCACTCTCTCATAACCTCTATGAGATATTTTTAAAATAAACCTATTTTTTAAGTTGCCAGAAGGAAACCAAAGCTTGATAGTTCCAACTCCCACCAAAAAATGTCACTGCTGTAACCTGTCCCTTATCCATTTATTCAAAACTATAAATTGCTTTTAATACTGTTAAATATTTTCAAAAACTATTCTTATTTATTAAATCTAGAAGCTGCCCATCTCACCACTAGCAACTCTGGGCACTATAAAACTATGAAAGACCAATGTGAACATTAACACAAACATTTTAGCTGGAGGAAAGATAAAAATTTGTCATGCTAGACAAACTGGATTCTCATGAGAAAACAGGAAGTGTTGATAGCTGACCAGGCAGCTTACTAACAACTGCTTTTTAGCCAGAGGGCTGTACCATTTCTCCTAAATTCCCTCATGATGGAAGGGAATTTTCCTACTAATACATTTTACTGTACAGAAGAACACAGTAGGCAATGGCCTATCACAATCAGATAAGTGCCCTACCTTTTGAAATTATACTAGCTCAGAAAGATTCTGAAGGACAGCCGTGTTTGCCTTTCCCAAAACTTTTTTTTATCAAGGCATCTTAATTCAGTTAATCTAACACTTAAAGAAAACATTTATTAATAAATAATATTAATTAAACAAGTCAGTTTGTAGGTGGGAGATGCCTAAATCGAATTAAATCTTACAGCCACTAGGGATAAAAATGTCAAAATACAAAAAGAATGATACCCTTTTGATGTTCACAACCTTTCTACCTTCTATAAAGCTAACTATTCGATTCTTGGCAATCATAAAGTATTAGTGCCTGTATGCTTGTGCCATTCATCTTCAAAAGACACTGATATTTCTATTCAAGAATTTGCACTCTGTTGGAGAATACAACCATGTGTTTACGAACTGTCCAACTAGTAAAACTAAAATATACTGCATTTAATTAGCTAATTTTCAAGGAGGAAAAGGGAACCCACTCCTCTCTGAGGTTAGGCAGCAAACAGCTCTGCTAAAGGAGACAGCTGTCTTGTGACAAATGCTCTGATCTGCTGTGGGATGGAATGGGGGGGGGGAGCAGGAAGCTGACAGCTTGGGGAACATGGCTTCCTGTCACCAACAGCAACAATCCAAGACTCGTTTTCTTTTTTTAAGTCGGCTGTTTATACTTGACTTTGAACCACCTTTTTATAGTCTCTGTGGCAGCTGGCAGCTTATCTCTGAGGTGCAGGAGTCATTCCTGAATGCTTTTCTATCAGGATGTTAAGGGACAGAAGCTGATTTAGCTTTTGCTAATTACCTCCCAAGCCAAAATCTGAATTTCCAAATTTGACCTACCACTGCAGAGGAGTCCAAGATCTAGAGGGTACAGAACAACATCCAAGGTTTTATGTGTAACATAAAGTTACAGTGGGGGGGGGGAAACCTCTAAAATTAACAGTCGGAGCAAAGAGCAGCCAGGAAATCTTAAAATAAATTAATTTACCTCTTACCAAGTCATCCAATGCTTGAGTATTTCAGAGATCAGTCTACACATTGTGCTCATAATCACAATTATTAGGAACAACCACTAGTTCTGATTTTGTAATAAGTATACAAGGTAGTGTCTCACTCAATCTTTATGTTAATTCTGCAGTGTTGCTTTGACTAAACTTTTAATTGGGAAACAGGTTAAGTAAGATATATTTCAAGCTACTACAATGTTCTTGGCAAGTCTGGCTCTGAACCTAACTCAAAGGTTAATTTCAAATGGATGGTTTTCCCTACAGTAATTAGCTTCAGAGAAGGATTAGCATCCTTCAGATGACACGCATCTGGTTTGCTAAATGTCAACTACTGTTATATAGTATGTTGAAAATGGAATATCATTCTGAAGAGATGCACAAATGCAGTCTTTGTTCATTCTTAGAGTCTGCGAAGCAAACCTAGATCACTGTTTGAAAAATATAAAAAATTATCTACAAAAGTCTAATTGTGGCAATCTATTTGCCTGTCTATACACTTAAGTTAGCCCAAATGGTGCATTATACAGAATAATTTTTTGAATCAAGGTACTTAAAATCCACTAACTTAAAAGGATGCATAAAAAACCTGGGAAGTTTGGTTTAACAAAGCAGGAAAGAACAACTGAAATGCCTATTGAGACAAAGACTAACATAAAAGAGGTAGCAGCAATACAAAAGCAGAAATGGAAGTGCAACTGTAAGCACATACCAGTGGAGTAAGAGTATCACAAAGCTACCAGTTATATAGAAATAACACTAAGAAAACTGCAATCCTTCATAAATGAAAGAAGAAAACCCCAACTTTATGAAAAATAAGGTGAAAATAAAGTTTTTCAGCTGGGATTATGAGAAGTGACATCCAAACACCAGCTTGGGAGAAGTTTGATACAAACTATGAAATGGACATCCTCTTAAAATTATACGATCATGCATTTTCATCTCAGATCCTACAGTAACAGCCTTTCTGCCATGTGGCAGCAGGCTACATTTCAAGATATATATTGATACAATATATAAAGTTAAACAAATCCAAGACTTCTTACACATGGCTTATTAAACATTTTTGGTTCTATAAACTGAAATGTGGGAAGAAGAGATTCACCACTTGCGTACAGGGCATATTTGGCTAGAAAAATGTGCTATCATTTGTATGCAGATACTACTAACATTTCAGACTATACAAACAAACAGTAGCTTGTAAAAGGTTCAAACATCAAAAAGAGGAGAGGCACCCAAAACCTAATAAAATAAAAGTACCTCAGAGGACTCTCATGTTCCCCTGAACAAATCAGGATTTTTTTTCACTGTCACAGATCACAAAAATGCTTATAGAAGGATTCATTCAGATAAACAATTCTTTTAGTATGTTGCTTTGTCGCCTGCTTGAAAATTAACAGTGAACACTGAAAGGAAGGAAACGAACAAGAGCCCCACCCTCACCTAAATTAAGGGCAAGAAAAGCTTCAAATAAAATATTTCTGAAGAAGTTGATTCCCAGTCTTGTAACTGCAGTAGAAAAACTCCCCCCTTTTTAAAAAAACAAAAACAAAAACCAAAGACAGTATGTGGGGGAAAACCTCCAAATCAGCACTGCCACAACAATTCATCTCTAATGACATACCACACTTCAATATCAAGTATCTTTTAGGATATACATCCAAAACACTGCTATAATGATTTTGACAGCAATCCACCCTATATGTTAAAAGGAAGAATTCTGAGCTCTATTTAGATGTTTTCCTGAACATGTCAGCAATTATACCTCTGGTTTAAAAAATATAGTTCCCCTTCGGACTTTCAGAATGTTTGCATATCTTTGTTGCTGAATGTTATCAGAGGTTAAGATCGAAGTTGGGTGTTTGTTTCATTAATTTCCTAATATTATTCAACATGTAAGGTGTCAGTGTGAAAAATAAACTAGTTCCTTAGATTCATTATCTGGGTGAACCATCTTTAAATGCAAAAATTGCAATCAAATGCTTCCTGCTACCAGTTTCTTGCACGGCTATGTAGAAATATTGGTGCATTTCTCCAAGGCAAACTAATTTTGTAAGTAATGTGAGGGTTTTCTAGATGAATTGATGGTTCAAGTCCTATCACATATGTTGGATTTAAGTTGGAAATCTGGAAAACCTCTTTTAAGTGGTACTTAAAAGTTTGCAAACTTGTGAATTTTCAATATTTCTGCATAAAAATGACCAAAAACTAAAGGGAACCCAATTAAACAAATGAGTCAAAAACATTATATTTGTTCATTTATTTATTGAGGAAAATGATCCAAAGCTAGCCCATATGTATGCAGAAATATTGAATGTTCAAAGTTTTAGCCACCATTCCAAACGGTGAATCTATTCTTCTTCATCTCTAAAGGCATTAATGACTTTATAGAAGTCATCAGAAATTTCTGGGTGGGGTATGACACGCACTCGGAATCTCTGTGATGAAAATTTCATTGAAATGTTGATCTTTTTTTGTAGGGTAACCCCAAATTAGCTCTGGTTGTTAATGATGTACTTAGACAGCTGGTCCTAGATAGCCCTTTAACTCAACAGACTGAACTGGCGATTGTTGGCTCACCAGACATAAGATGGCCTTTGCTTATGACATAAATTGATCAAACAATCAATGAAAAATCAGGACTCATATGAAAGTCTAATAATTTTGTCTAATAACAAAGACATGCAACAATTCAGAAAATCAAAGCAGGGGAAAAATACTGTTTCAGAAAATTGTAAAACTGAGTAGAGCAGTGCTTCTCAAACTTTCTTTCATTATTCAAAAACACTTATCAAAAGTCGTAAGAAACTTCCTTCAGCATCGTTTAACTTTCAACAGTCACTAAAAGAATGCTCATAACTCGAGGACTACCTATATATAAAAATAATATTACTAAAGGATTTTTATGTCATTTCAATGAATTATCAGTAATTTCATCAATTTTCATCTTATTTGGAAGATTCTGAATATATTTTAGTGCACATGGCAATCTTTAAGTCAATTTAAATGTTCCTGTTGTGATGGGCAATGGATTCATGTGACATTAACCAAAGAAAAGGGGCGTTGTCTTACCTGAACGCCTTTTCTCAGCATGAAGAATGGAGAATCCACGAATGGGTTAAAGACGTCCTCTAGACCAATTAGACCAAATCAATCAAGTTGCCACGCCCCTGCTAGACTGGACCCTGCCTCAGTTTCGAAAAGGGCGAAGCTAATGACTGTGCAACGTGTTGGCTCCCAGGCTACTGGCACTGACCTGACTGTGAATTTCAAAGGGGAGGGGTGGATTCTCCATTCTTCATGCTGAGAAAAGGCGTTCAGGTAAGACAACGCCTTTTCTCCAGCATGGAAAAGAATGGAGAATCCACGAATGGGACATACCAAAGCCCATAGGACCCTACAGGTGGGAAGCAGGCTGGTCAAGTGTCGACGCTGCCTGGACCACCTGTTGTAAGACACGGCAGCCGAAGAAGGCCTCTGCAGAGGCAAATTTATTGAGCTTATAATGACGGATAAAGGGGGAAGGCGAAGACCACATCGCCACTCTACAAATGTCAACGATAGAAGCTTGAGTATGCCACGCAGCTGATGCAGAGGCACTGCGTGTGGAATGTGCTATCAGATGGCTTGGAACTGGCAAGGAGCATACCTGGTACGAACTCTGCGATACAGGCCTTAATCCACCTGGCAATGGTAGAAGAAGAGACCTTCTGACCCCTAGAAGCCGGATGGAAAGAGACAAAAAGTGCCTCCGATCTATGAAAAGTAGCTGTTCGCTTAATGTAATATCGCAGTGCCCTGCGGACATCCAGAGAATGCCACTGCCATTCCAAGTCATGTGATGGGTTAGGACAAAAGTCTGGCAACACAATCTCTTGTGCCCTATGAAATAAGGTGTTAACCTTAGGAATGAACGAGGGGTCCAACCGCAGGACCACTCTGTCCTGGTGAAAAGTGCATAGGTCTTCCCTGACGGAAAGAGCTGCTAGTTCCGAAACGCGCCTCACCAATGTAACTGCAATTAAGACGGCCACCTTATGGGACCAGTGTCGCAAATTGCAAGACCTGATGGGTTCAAAAGGGGATCCTGTAAGAGCCTGTAGTACCCGTGGTAACTTCCAAGTGGGGTAACGATGGACTACAGGAGGCTTGCTGTTTGTAACCCCCTTGATAAAGAATCGAACCCTCGGGTGCTGAGACAACGGCGTGGAATTGACACAGGTGAAAACTGTGGAGAGTGCCGCCACTTGACTACGGATAGTGCTGGGTGCTAGGCCCTTATCCACACCCTCCAAGAGATATTCAAGTATCCTCGGAATAGTAACAGAAGAAATGGACAAACTATTTTGGTCACACCAGTGACAGAAATTTCTCCAAGTAGCATCGTAAATCCGATCTGTCGCCGGCCAAGAGGCCTGAATCATTGAGATCACTCTTGAAGGGTATGAACCCCATGTCAGGAACTGGCGTTCAGATGCCAGGCGGCTAGCTCCAGCCACTGCGGGTCTGGATGTTGTATGATCCCTTGTAACAGGACTATCCGATTTGGAGGAATCCTCCACGGAGGAGCTACGGCTAGGCTCACGAGAGCTGCAAACCATGGTCGCCTCGGACAGTGTGGGGCCACAAATATCAGCTCCGCTTGTTCCTGTAACAGTTTTCTGATGACAGCCGGAATCAGGAGAAACAATCGGAAGGCATATAGTAGTCCCCAAGGCCAAGGGCTGCTGAGAGCATCTACTCCCTCCGACCTGAGAGGGGAAACGGGAGAAGAACCGTGGGAACTGGGCACTCGCTGGGGAGGCGAATAAGTCGACACTCAGTTGACTGAACCGCTGTGCGATCTCCCTGAAGAGACGTGGATGCAGACGCCACTCTGAATGGTCTATCATAGAGTGACTCAGATAATCCGCCTGCCGGTTCACCTCGAAAAGAGATTCCACTCCGTCCATGATCCCAGTAACCAGGCCTCAGACATCAGGGCCCGAGATCGAGTGCTGCCCTGCCAGTTGACATGGGCCTTGCTGCCACATTGTCCATTAGGACCAACGCGTGGCACCCCGCAATCGTTTTGCGGAAGTGGCAAAGTGCCAGGTGTATAGCCCTGAGTTCCAGCCAGTTGATGTTTTGTCTGAGGTCCCGCTGTGACCACCGGCCCTGGGTGAACTAAAGTTGAGGTGTGCCCCCCAGCCGAATAAACTGGCGTCCGTGGTCAAAGTCACATGAACGGGCTCTCTCAAAAGGGACCCCTTGGACAAAGCTGGGGAGAGCCACTAGAGAAGGGATCTGAGCGTCTGTGTTGGGACTTGTACCCTCTGGGGAAAGGAGCTTATGCCCCGCCTTTAGTAGGAGAGTAAGAACCACTGGAGCTGTCTTGTGTGAAGCCTGGCCCAGGGTACTATGGCAATGCAGGAAATCAGTTTTTCCAACAGTTAGGAGAGCAGGGCTAGGGTCACCTGTTGCTCCCTGCAAACCTTGAGGACCAGAATATGGATGCTGACCTGACGCTCCTGGGATAAGAATACTTGGCAAAGGTTTGTGTCTATTATCGCGCCCAAGTGCAATAGGCAGGTGGCTGGAATCAAGTGGCTCTTTTGAAAATTGATTAAGAAACTATGACCTTGAAGTGTCCCAATCGTTAGCTCCAGATCCGTCAGTGCGTTCAGTGCAGAGGACAACTGAATTAGGATGTCGTCTAAGTAGCATTGAACGCGAATTGGTACCGACCTGAGATGTGCAGCAAGTACCACCAGGACCTTGGTGAAAACCCTGGCAGCCGATGATAGGCCAAACGGGAGAGCCTTGTATTGGTAGTGATGGTTGGAGTACCTGAACCTGAGGAATTGTCTGTGATCCGGGTGAATGGGGATGTGAAGGTATGCCTCTGTAAAGTCTATTGATGTCAGGAAGTCTCCCTGCCATACGCTGGATTGGAGTGTCTGCATTTTGAATTTGCGATACGACAGGTATGAGTCCAGAACCTTGAGATTGAGTATCGCCCTCCATCCCCCTGAAGACTTCGGTACTACGAATAGGATGGAGTAAAACCCTGCCCCAGTTGGTCTGATGGTACCCGCTCTATGGCCTTTATGCTTAATAAATGTTGAATGGCTTCCCGCATGAGGCCCTTCTTTACGGGATTACGCGACAAGGGACAGATGATATAGCATCGGGGGGGGGGGGGTTATCACGAATTCCAGGGACAAACCGTCCCTGATAGTGGTGAACATCCAAGTGTCCGTAGTGGTATCCTCCCATTTGTGTATGTAATAATTCAGTTTGCTGCCTATGGGAGAGGTCCACCCCAAGTCACCTTGACCTACGGAAGGGGCGACCTCCTCTACCTCGAAAGGGCCTTTTGTTCTGAACCTGTTGTCTGGACTTGTTTCTGTAACCGGAACGGTCCAAGGAATGGTCTGGTCCTGCTGGAAAGGGCTGTGGTACATTTCCTGAGGTCAGTTCCGATCCTGATCAAAAAGGGCGACGGTTATATGGGACGAAATGCCTGCCCGATCTTTTGGAAAGATGGTAAAGTACCCTCTTCTTTTCCCTGTTTTCCACCAAGTACGGAGTGAGGGCCTCTCCAAAAAGGCAACCACTCTGATACGGGGCAGCAGCCACCCTCCATCTGTGTTTGGTGTCGGCACGCCAGTTTCTAAGCCAAAATAACCTATGTGCGGTGACATTGGAAGCTATAGCACGGGCCAAGAATCTGGCCACTTGGAGAGACATGTCTGCCATATATTCCAAGGCCGCCCGCAACTTGGTCACGTCCTGGTGTACTCTTACCTCTTCTGGGGAGATTCTAGACTGGAGTTCACATAGCCAGATAAGGGAGATCCTGGCGAAGAATGAATTCGATGTGGAAGCTCTTACCGCCCACGGCAAAGGCTGGTGTGTCCTACGGAAGGAAACCTCGGATTTTTTGTCCTTGGCCTTCAGCGCCTCTGACATGTCGCTTGGAATCTTGGATTCTGAAAGGATGGGAGTAAGGGACTTGTCCACTCCCGGAACTTCCAACGCCTCATTCAGGGTCGAAACCATATCTATGAGTTTACAGTCAATCCCCCCAAGGGTGGAAAAGATGCCGGGGGAACCCCATTGGTCCTGTACCGATTTCAAAAACATGGGAGGACAAGGAATCTGCTGGTGTTTTACGACTGATTCCGAGAACAGGGAACTGGTACCCTGACCAGGTGTCTGACCGGACACTGTGGATTTCACTGGTTCAATCTTTCCAGTGGCGCAGGCCTTACATAAGAGAGAGGGGAAAGATGTAGGACTGAACAAGCCTACCAAGGGAGGGGCCTCCGTGTGTGGCTCTTCATCATCCGGCCACTGACCCTCTTCGAGGACGTGCTCCGAATATTCAGACACCTCGCTCCCCAGGAACGTGGTGGAGAGGCTGGATCCGGGTACTGATAATCCCTGGATCGTGAAGTCCCTGCGGATGGAAGGGGGTTAGATGGTCCCGGGGTCACTAGAGCATGCGCTGAAAATGCCATCGCTTGAGCAACTGCCTGAAAGATCATGGCCTGGAGTTCGTCAGTAAATGGTGATTGCTCCAGGGGATGAAGTTCTGCCGCCGTAGGAGTGAATGAAGCCGACAGAGCCTGAGGTGGACCCGCAAGGGAGAAACTCTCTGAGGTTCCACACGCCACTGTGGGAGGGGTGAGCTTGGCCCCTGATACTGGATCTTGGTTCCGCACTCTCAGATCCTGCTCAAAGAGAGAAAGGTGATCCTGGCTGAACCCGAGTGAGAGACCTTGATCTAGATCCCGTTCTGGAGACCATGCCCGCACGAAGGACGAGGGCATGCCCCCCCCATTGTCGATGCAATAGAGGGAGGAGTCAAGGGAACCGGACCCTCTGCCGCACAATTTTGGGCTTCTGAAAATTGTCTTTCTAACGCCCTATGTCTACGACCAGCTTGCTTTTCGGCCGCCTTAGATGTTCTTTTGGTTTTGGCCTTGATTTTCACGGCTGCTTCTTGGTTGGGTGACTTGTGTTTCTTATTTCCACTGGAGGTGGAAGCTTGTGGAACAGTGTTGTCCGCCATAATGAGCAGGAGTTTTCCAGCAGATCGCTGAAGCTGTCCTGGTCTGCAAGAGATGCAGCTACAGCCCACCTGGGTGATACAGGCCTACACAAGGATCTGTGAAGTCCAGCCCACTGTTAAGCAAGGAGTCACACTTCGCGACGAATGTCGCGCGTCACTAAAAGAGGTCTCTTCTCTCTCTTCTATATGTGTATTTGTGTGTGTGTGTGTATAGCATAATTATTATTAATAATTATTATTTTTTTGTTTAGTGACGGATCCTTTGTGCCTCACTTAGTGGCGGCTAGAACAAAAAAATTTGCCGAACCACTAGATCCAGACAGCGTCAACAGGCTGTGATGGAATAGTCAGCTGGGCCCAGCTGACAGATGATATATTTCAAAAGCTGGGAAAGGTAAGTGGTGTTTGTTTAATTGCAGATTATTATGAAAACTGCAGGGTGTAACAGTATTGATGGAAAAGAACCTACAACATTGGAAAGATCAGCCATCTATTTTTTCCCGCCAAAATACCGTCCTGTGGAGGCTTGTCTCCGCAATTAAATCACACTGTAGAGGCTGAGAAAAACACTAACCAGGCACCCCCACAATGCAGTTTAAGAAAATCAAGCTGGAAATTAAGGAATAGGCAGGAAGAAATCAACTTTGAGAGAAGGGGGAAATAACGAAACTAAGGCAGCCGCCAACTGTGTGGTGGTCCAAAATGGCGGCCGTGCTGGCCGACGCAAGAAAAATTGAAGCGAAAGCTGAGATCAAGGGGAGACAGCCTCCTGTCGAGCAAGCAGCAAGAAAGAAAAGGCAAGGAATATATGAAGGAACGGAGAGTTTGCCAAAAACAGCAGGGATCTGAAGAGAAAAAGCCCTATCTTCGTGCTGCATTCAGAGCGGCAATAGCGACGATCAGCTGGCCAATACAGGGAGAAAAAACTGCCTCAGCAAATTTAACTCTTTGGAAGCTCTTGCGGAACTGGGGCAGAGCTGATCCCAGTGCTGACCAGATGGCAAGAGAATGAAAAATCCACGAATGGGAGCAGAAAGAAATACGACCTGAAAATTTCTCTTTGGGAGCCAAGTTTCCACGTCAGTCCTAGGCTGAGACCAAATCGAAACTGGGGCATGGTCCAGTCCAGCAGGGGTGTGGCAACTTGATTGATTTGGTCTAACTGGGCTAGAGGACTTCTTTAATCCATTCATGGATTCTCCATTCTTTTCCATGCTGGAGAAAGCACGTTTACACAATTTGAGGTTACTTACCCAAGTATGGAAAGCACCCGAGTAGAGGATGAGACCAAATAAAATGGCCATATTCCATTTCCCCATATCAAATGTTGAGCAAAGGCTAAAGGAGAATTGCATCTGAGGCTATTTAAACACACTTATAAATTTGATGCAGAGGAGCAAGGAGATAGCTTTGAAGAGGATACATGGCAATCACTGGTAAAACATGGGCTTAGGGTAGAAAACAGGAAGAATGAGAAAAACACAAGACTGCCCTGCCTTGACTCTGTTTGGTAGAAGGGAAAACAGTGACATTTTTCAAGAGTCTATTGTTATAAGCTATAAATTGAGTTCTAGCATTTCTTGTGATATGTTTCCTAATCTGGTCTATTTTAAAGGGTTGATACATAGGATTCAACCAACTTCATCTGGGATTCAAATTGGGGCTCAATGACTCAGCAGTTAAAGATGCTAAGTTTGTCAGCCAGAAAGCTGACAGCCCAGGTTCAAGACTTGAGCCACACGACAGGTGAGCTCCTATTATTTACCTCAGCTCCTGTCCACCTAGCATTTTGAAAATATGCAAATATGAATAAATAAATAGGTGCCACTTTGGTGGGAAGGTAACAGTGTTCTGTGCACTTTGGCATATAGTTACACTGGCCACATGACTATGGAAATGACAACGCTGGCTCCCTCAGCTAAGAAACGGAGATAAGCACCACCCCCTAGAGTCAGATTCAACTGGACAAGGGAAACCTTTACCTGGAATTCAAAACAGGATCCAGAATTAGGCTGAAAAATGTACCCACAGCTGTTGAGTGCAATTATGCATCTTTTCAGATCTCCAAGGTCAACTAGATGCTGGGAATAGAAAGGGGTAGGATGAGAGGACAACAATGGTGGAGGCAGAAAGTAGACATCCTTCTTCTATACCAGGCATGTCAAACTTGCGACGTCATGTGACGTCGCACGACGTTTCGGGACTTTTTCCCCATTGCTATGGTTTCGGTGTGACGCATCTGGCCCATTGGCCGGCAGTTTGACATCCCAGTTCTATACTCTCAATCCCTCATGCCTTCAAATACCTGAATAGGGACCTTGTTAAAATATCTGCAGATCCACATAACAAAACTAAGCACCACAATTTTCCAGATTCTTAGGGACAGTTTTTCATAATATCCAGTGGTGGATCAGACACACCAGAAGATCTAGAAAAAAAAAATGGGAAAAAAGAACTAAAGGGTCAAAATTTTAAATTTCTATCAAGGCCACCAAATCAGAAATCTTATATTTCCTTTAACCAAGCAAAGACCACTTGTTATTTCCAGTGTCTTAAGACAGTGAGTTCTCTCAGCAGTTAGTAATTTCTCTGCAAAATTGCCAGAAAGAACAATTTCAAGTAATTCTGAAAAGCCAGGAAAAGGGAGGAAATGATAAATATTAGAAAACTTTAAAAGGAAGATCCAGAAGAAAATTCTGTATCATGCCAAAAAAGGATGCTGTAACCTACCTAACAACCTACCAACAAGCACTGCATAAGTAATTATTCAAGACACCATTATTATATCACATATCACATCCACCTATAATAAGCACTTTGCCATTATGTCAAATGCAGATTTATGTCATTTACACGCAGCTATAGCTAGCAGACAAACAATAATTGGAAAAGAGAAACTATGGTTTTAACTCATTCTTTCCTTCCCACCCCTGACCAAATTATGATTTCTTTCTTTACATATTTCTTAAAGAGCTCAGAGTTACAAAACAGTAGAAATGCTAACTATACAACAATTAAATTGTCCATAAGATAGGCAGATATAAAAACAAAATAAATTGTGAACTGTCCAAAAAGAATTTAATTAGAGCTTTTCTCAACAACTCAGCCTTAAATCCTTATTTCCTGCTCATAAGAATTGATTCATATAATCTTAGTTACATCTTTCTTATAGAATACACTTCTTTTTATAGAACCAAGGACAGACTAATTATTCCTTAATGCCCAAAGTTTTGTATACATGCATGAAATTTACACAGGTGTTACTGCAGGTTTAACCCTTTGAAGTTATTTCCCATAATCATCCAACATATTCAAACTTACAATAGAAATTTATTAATTAATGTATATTCTGCAAAGCAACAATACAAGCTCAAGCTTTCAGATTGTTTTAATAGCTTCTTTTGCAATTGTCTAGATTTTAAAATAATCCTTAGCACACGAGGACTAAGTTTGCTTGGTTAAACTAAGCTACAATAAATTTGAATAACTTGTGGTTCAGTATGTTGTGGAAACACAGTAACTCCTTGTCATGTTGTGTGAAGTAGGCCTTTACATAAAGTTATAATATCAATTATTTATCCAGGCATAGCATGTTATGTAAACATAGCAATTCTCTTTTGTTAGCGTTAACATATCACACAAACTAATCTGTTAAACTGAACTGAAATTCTGATTATTTTTTCCTAGCTACACAGATGGAAAAGAAGTAGGAATGCTTTAACCTGACACATGTGCAGATACCTATTTATAGCCATATTAAATAATGGTTTATCATTACACATAAAAACATGCTATTATCCACTCAAGTGATCTTAGGCAAAAGGGAAAACTGGAAACAGATTTCAGAACAAGAGAGTTGTTGCTACCTATTCCACATCTTAGCATCTTTTACACCCAAACCTAGTTTTAACAACCAATAGCTAAGCTATACCTTACAGTACAGGTAGTCCTCGACTTACAATAATTCATTTAGTGTCTGTTCAAAGTTATATCACTGAAAAAGTGACTTATGACAGTTTTTCACACAACCATAACAGCATCCCCATGGTTATGTAATCAAAATTGAGATGTTTGGCAATTGAATGTCTCGAGGTCATGTGATCACCTTTTGCAACCTTCTGACAAAGTCAATGGGGAAGCCAGATTCACTTAACATACATCTTCAAATGACAAGACTGAAAACTATAAATTGAAAACTAGTTACTATGCATTCTTTTGCCCTGCTCAACAACATTTCACAATTAATGCTATACATTTGAAAGCTGAATTGATGCCAGTATGCAAATATATCTAAAGATGGTTGCCTGTCTCATTTGTGTATGGCTGCCATATTGTTTTCTCTATCTGGGAAATACAAGCATCAGTTACTTCCCTACACAAAGATTTGCACATATTTCTCTTTAGAGATCTTCCCTCTCCAGTCACAATGCAACTACCTAGGAATGGTTTATCTGCTGGCATTCTTCAGGACAAATATCTAAAACTGTGCCATTTAAGTAGCTCCCCTTTCCTTAATTCAGTTTTTAAATTATGCACTACACTTTCAATGGCAGTTCTAAATTACTGAAATAAAGCAGCCTTTCTATAATACCTGCAAGCTCTTTTTAATTCACCTTATATTTTAGACTTTATACAATTAATTATATTCCAATATCCAATTTCTTCACCTTACCATTTGTTGGGAAATACTGGGAAGATAAGTCTTTTCTTAATAATTAAATGTAAATATCTCATTAAATATAATCCAATTACTTTAAGAAAAATCATTACAATATGTGCATGCATTCTTGCCTGAACAGTTTTCGTATTTTAAATTAATCATTGCTAAATACATCAAATCAACCTCTGACATTACAAAATCTACTACTGCCAATTTCTTCTTCATAAGGTATTTTTTACAGATAGCTTTATATTTCATTATTTTTTTCTCAGAAGTATTTTAAACATTTGAATTAAGAATGGCATCTTGAACAGAGCTTCCAAACAATAAGAATGATTATTACAAGAACATATATGTTGAAATCAGAATAGGACACTTTTATAAATTTTACAAAATAGCCAGCTTAAATGAACTATTAGCAAAACAATCACTGTGATATAAAAGGAGCGTTGGCTTACCTGAACGCCTTTTCTCAGCATGATGATGAAGAATCCACCAATGGGTTATTTCAGTCCTCCTGCCCAATCAGACTAAGTTGTCAAGTTGTCACACCCCTCTTTGTCTGGGACCTCCCAGTTTCATCGATGGCGTAGCCAATGACAACAGTTCGACGTGATGACTCTCAAGCAGGTACCAGGAAAAAAAACAAGTCCCCAACACAGACCTAACTAACCTCTAGAAGGGAGGACGTGGATTCTTCATCATCATGCTAAGAAAAGGCATTCAGGTAAGCCAACGCTCCTTCTCCAGCATGATGACTGAAGAATCCACCAATGGAACGTACCAAAACTCCTGGAGTCCTTATGGATGGGAGTCAGTTGGGGTCTGTGAACATGATGGTGTCTCTATCTGCTGTAAAATACGTCTACCGAAGGTGGCCTCAGCCGATGCAAACTTGTCCAAATGGTAATGTCTAATGAAGGGGGAAGGCAAGGACCATGTTGCCGCCCTGCAAATGTCCTCAATGGATGCTTGAGTTGCCCACGCCGCAGTTGTGGCAGCACTGCGGGTAGAGTGAGCCATCACATGACTAGGAACGGGCAGGGCAAGAGATACAGGGGAGTACAGGGCCCTAGTTGTAGGCTGCTGTTGCTTAATGCCAGGTCCATTGTCAACAAAGCCCCCCTTGTCCGTGATCTAATATTGGACAGGGGGGCAGACCTGACATGTATAACCGAAACCTGGCTGGGCCCTGGGGGGGGGGTGTTCCCCTCTCGGATATGTGCCCAGATGGGTTTGTGGTGCTTCATCAGCCTCGATATCAGGGCAGGGGTGGGAGAGTGGCAGTCATCGCTCGGAGGTCCCTGAGTCCTCGTGGGATCCCTGCTCCGGAGATTGTTGGGTGTGAGTCCCTCCTATTGAAGTTGGGTTCACGGGTTCAGTGGGGCTTGTTGCTGATGTACCTACCTCCCAGCTGCGTTGCAACAGCCCTGCCTGCGTTGCTGGAGTCAGTAGCCGGGTTGGCGGTGGAGTTCCCCAGACTTATGGTACTGGGGGACTTTAACCTGCCATCACTCGACGAATGCTCAGAGGCGGCGCAAGAGTTCATGGCTTCCATGGCAACCATGGACCTGACCCAGGTAATCCAGGATCCGACTCATAGGGGTGGTCACACGCTCGACCTTGTGTTTCTCTCGGGGCAGTGGAGACATGATCTGGAACTAAGGGGAATAGAGATCTCTTCCTTGTCATGAACAGATAATTTCCTATTGAGGCTGGACTTCAGAGCATCACTCCCCACCACAGGAAGGTGGAGCCGACTAGGTGGTTCCGCCCCAGGTGCCTAATGGACCCAGATTGGTTCCAGGAGGAGCTTGGGGAAATACCTGACTCCCTTGTCCACAACTCGTCCGGGTCCCTGGTTGCGGCCTGGAATGAGGCAGCTTCCGGGGCCCTGGATTGAATTGCGCCTTTGTCACCTCTCTGTGGTAGTGGTCCCCGGAGGGCGCTTTGGTTTACTGAGGAGCTCCGGGAGATGAAGCGCCACAAGAGACGTCTAGAGCGACGTTGGAGGGCCAGTAACTCGGAATCTGACCGATCACTATTAAGAGCTTATCATAGGACTTATTTAGTGGTGATAAGGGCGGCAAAGCATGTTCAGCTGATGTTTCCGCATTATTGTGTCCACAGAATCTCACCCGGCCGCCCTGTTTAGGGTGACCCACTCCCTTCTTAAAGTGAAGGAGGCGGAGGAACCCTTGCAGGGGAGAGCTGAGGAGTTCGTTCAGTTTCTTTCGGACAAAATCGCTCAGATTCAGAGGGACCTGGACTCCGACTGGGCAGTGCCAGCCGAGATGCCGGGGGCTGGTCTTAGTCATGTTATCTGGAGCGAGTTTGAGCCTGTAACCCCTGATGAAGTGGACAAGGCCGTGAGGGCAATGAATGCCGCCACGTGTTTATTGGACCCGTGCCCCTCCTGGCTGGTTTCTGCCAGTAGGGAGGTGACACGAGGCTGGCTCCAGGACAAACACCTCTTTGATGGAGGGGTCTTTCCCGCAACCTTTGAAGGAAGCGGTGGTGAGGCCTTTCCTCAAGAAGCCTTCCCTGGACCCAGCTGTTTTGAAGAACTTTCGTCCTGTCTCCAACCTCCCCTTTGTGGGGAAGGTTGTAGAGAAGGTGGTGGCGTCCCAACTCTTGCGATCCTTGGATGAAACGAATTATCTGGACCCTTTTCAATCTGGCTTCAGGCCCGGCTACAGCACTGAGACTGCTTTGGTCGCACTGACCGATGACCTCTGGTGAACCCGGGATAGGGGTCATTCCTCTATCTTGGTGCTTCTTGACCTCTCAGCGGCTTTCGATACCATCGGCCATGGTATCCTTCTGCGTCGTCTCGGAAAGGTGGGGGTGGGCGGCACTGTATTGCGATGGTTCTCCTCCTACCTCTCTGACAGGTCGCAGTTGATGTTGGCGGGCGGACAGAGATTGACCCCTAGGTGCCTCGATTATGGGGTGCCTCAGGGCTCGGTCCTGTCCCCCCTTTTTAACATCTACATGAAACTGCTGGGTGAGATCATTTGGCGACACGGGGTGAGGTATCATCAGTATGCGGATGATACCCGATTATATATCTCCATCCCGTGTCCTTTCAGTGAAGCAGTCGACGTGATGTGCCAGTGCCTGGAAGATGTGAGGGTCTGGATGGGGGTGAACAGGCTTAGACTCAACCCTGACAAGACCGAGTGGCTCTGGGTCTTGCCCCCCAAGGGTCATTCTGATGGTCCATCATTAGTCCTGGGGGGGGGGGGAATTTACCTCCCTCAGTGCAGGCACGCAACTTGAGTGTCCTCCTGGACTCATAGCTAAATTTGGAACAACATCTATTGGCTGTGGCCAGGGGGACTTTTGCCCAGGTTCGCCTGGTGCACCAGTTGCGGCCTTATTTGGACCGGGAGACTCTACTCACGATTACTCATGCCCTTGTCACCTAAAGACTGGACTACTGTAATGCGCTCTACATAGGGCTACCCTTGAAGAGTGTTCGGAGGCTGCAGTTGGTTCAGAATGCAGCCGCGAGAGCAACTGTGGGTGCACCAAGGTACACCCATGTGTCACCTATCCTCCGCGAGCTGCACTGGCTTCCTGTGGGTCTCCGGACGCAATTCAAGGTGTTGGTTGTCACCTTTAAAGCCCTTCATGGCTTAGGACCAGGTTACTTATAGGACCGCATACTGCCGCATAGTTCCCAGAGACCGGTGAGGTCCCACAGATTGGGCCTCCTTCAGGTCCCGTCGGCCAGACAATGTCGGTTGGTGGGCCTTCAGGGAAGGGCCTTTTCTGTGGTGGCTCCGACATGGTGGAATCAACTTCCCCCCGAGATTCAAACTACTCCCACCTTGCCGGCCTTCAAGAAAGCTATTAAAACTCTCCTGTTCCAGCAGGCTTGAGGTTGATGTCCCCGGGGGAGCCGGGATTTGATTGGGACATGCTGTGTGAATGTATTCATTTTTAATTGTTATACTTGTTGTTTAAATTTTGTACGCCACCCTGAGTCCCTAGGGATTGGGCGGCATATAAATTTTACAAATAAATAAATAAATAAATACGTGCCTGCGATACAAGTCCTGACCCACCTACCTATGGTGGAAGCTGACACCTTTTGGCCCACTGAGGAAGGCTGAAAGGATACAAACAGGGCTTCTGACTTACGGAAAGGTGTTGTGCGCTTGATATAACAGTGCAAGGCTCTCCTTATGTCTAGTGAGTGCCATTGCCATTCCAAGTCATGCAACATGAGGACAGAAGTCTGGGAGAATAACCTCTTGTGCCCTATGGAACACTGTGTTTATTTTTGGAATAAATGAGGGATCTAACCTAAGAACCACTCTGTCCTCGTGAAATGTGCACAGTCCTTTCTGATCGATAAGGCAGCCAATTCCGATATGCGTCTGGCAGAAGTAATTGCTATCAGGAAGGAAACCTTAAGTGACAGGTACCGCAAGGAACGTGTTCTAAGTGGTTCAAAGGGAGAAGAGGTTAGTGCTTGTAGAACCTGGGGTAGATCCCAAGAGGGATACCTATGAACCACAGCGGGGCTATTATTGGTGACCCCCTTGAGGAAAGATTGGATGGTAGGGTGTCGAGTCAAAGACTCTGAAGAGTCCCAAGAAAGTACCGTGGAAAGAGCCGCTAGTGTTGGGCAACAACCCCTTGTTGACACCCTCCAGTAAGTATTCTAACACCCTGGGAATGGTTACCTGTAACAGACTCACGTGACTCTTGTCGCACCAACGACAGAAGTTCTTCCACGTATGGCCGGTCTCCTGGCAGCCTGAATCATATCGATCACCCCTGACGAATAAGACTCCCAATTCAGGATCATCCTGATAACTGCTGGCAACAGGGGCAGTGGGGGAAAGGCATACAAAAGGCCTTGCAGCCATTGGCTGCGTAGGGCATCCACCCCCTCTGCTCCCTGCGAGGGGAACCGAGAGAAAAATCTGGACAGCTGGGTGTTCCCGGCGAGACGAACAGGTCCACGATCAGATGACCAAATCTGTCCAAGATCTCCCTGAAGACATCCGGATGTAACTTCCACTCCGAATGGTCCACTACTGACCTGCTGAGGAAGTCTGCCTGCCGATTTGCCTCTCCCGAGATGTGCTCTGCCCTGATGGAAAGCAGGTTGCTCTCTGCCCAGGAGCCCAGTGCTCGAGCCTGCATCATGAGAGACTTGGACCGGGTGCCCCCTTGCCGGTTCACGTGAGCTTTTGCAGCCACGGTGTCCATCAGGACCAGCACATGTTGCCCTCTGACTACTGTGTGGAAATGTTTGAGCGCTAGGTGGATCGCTCTGAGCTCCAACCAATTTATGCTGTGCCTCAGGTCTGTCTGTGACCACTGACCCTGAGCCATCCAGGTTTGGAGGTGAGCACCCCAACCAAAGAGACTTGTGTCCGTGGTCACACTGATGCAACTGGGCTCTTTGAATAGAATCCCCTTGTGAATGGCCGAGGATGCCCACCAGCCGAGAGACACACCTGACAAGGGACGCGCACCAACTGGTTGGAG